TTAGGCTCCGTGTCTTGTGTGTTATCTTACTGGCAGAGGCCAAGCAATCGAGTATGCCACAAGTTCTGTTTCCAGTTTCCCTCTCCCGCAAGCGTCCTTCTTAGGTCGGCATTTGGTGCCTTGCTTGTTCGATTTTGGCTCATTCTTTTGATTAATATATCTGCTCCGTCTACGGGTATAACATAGATGTCTTCTCCTAGATGCTCTGTTGGGTTGGGGTGGGCGTATCAGAACTTTGTTTGGTATTTGTTAAACTGCTGATTTCACTAGTTCTTCATCTCATTGTTCAGTGCTGAAATAGAAATTATACATTGTTTGATGATTTGTTCATTTATTTCTATTTCTACTACGGAAGATTCCCAAATGTTAACTGTCATCAACATCTGATTATATTGGATGATGGTTAAATTAGCAAAAACAGAAAGAAAGGATCTGAAAGAAATCCTTTTGTGGCTAATAATTAGCAGCAAAGAAAGATACTTTTTAACCAAAAAGTGATTTCCAAATCAAGCCAGATGGTTTCCTTTCACTACCTCACCAACCAATTTCGATTATTCCGATTATTCCGATAGGTGTTTTGTTCTTTCTCTTCTCTTACTCCTTCACCTCTCGAGTAAAGGTTCTTTGCCCATATAAAGAAGGATGATCGGAACCCTTAATCAGTAAGGTTAATAAATATGAATCACTTCTTACGGTCAATGGACAAAGCAAATTTTTAAGAGGGAGAACTGTAACGACCCAAGTCCATCGCTAGTAGATATTGTCCTTTTTGGGTTTTAATTTTCAAGTTTTCCCTCAAGATTTTTAAAACGCGTATACTTGGGAGAGGCTTCCACATGCGGGTGTACTATTGTTCTCCCCAACCAATGTGGGATCTCACATGAGCGATCAATGGAATAGTTACTTCCTTCTCTTGAAGCAGATATTCGACAAAGACAACGACAAGGAGAATGATCGATGACGCCTTTCATAGAAGTAAAATGATTCAAATTCCTTTAAGCAACGCCACTTTCAACATTAGCTCAGATTGAAAGCAAAGTATGAGCTTTGTCCAAGTTCGATCTTAACGTAAATCACATATTCTAATGGTCTTTAATTTTTGAGACAAAAGCATCCAAGATTGTCAGATACCAAACCCCATCAAGAACACCTCTTAATTACACTTCCAAATTTATTCATCTCCAAATTTATTCATACAAACAAGAACAATAATTAACAGCAATCATGAAACGGCAGACGACCCATCATGAACTGCAAACTGGGGAATCATATGGGAATTGCTTGCCGATCTATTTTGATCACTTGACTCAAAATATACAAAAGAAGGGTTATAGAAATCAACAAGTGGGTTAGGATTATTATAACTCGAACTAGAATCTTCATGCCTATTATGATCCTTTTTCACTGAGTTTCCACATTGCCTTGGCTGAGTTTGGTAGAACACTTTTGAGACCACAAGTTCTCCATCTTTCTCTTCCTCACTGTTGCCCAAATGGTATTGATGCATTATCCAGTTTGTCTTCTCGGGCTTCTTTTGCTTCCCATAATTGGTGTACAGCACCAGGATCTTCTTGTAACCCTTTACTCTCCCGGCCACCAGAACCGGCCTCGTCTTGCCGGTTTTGTGCCACCGTGTTTCGCCCTCGCCCTCGGCGTCGTCGGCGTGGACTTTCCTTCTTTTCCTTGTTCCTGTTGTGTACGCCTTGGATGGCCTGTGGAAGAAGTGTCGGACCAGACCATCTTTTCTTACTCCTGCATTGATATGATAAAGATATTGTGAGACCCCACATTCGTTGGGGAGGAGAACGAAACACCTTTTATATGAGTGTGGAAACCTCTCCCTAGCATACGCGTTTTAAAAACCTTAAGAGAAAGTCGAAAGAGGACAATATCTGCTAGAGGTGGGCTTGGGCCATTACAAATGGTATCAGTGAGTGATGTGCCAATGAGGAGTCTGTTCCCCGAAGGAGGTAGACATAAGATGGTGTGCCAGTAAGGACACTGGGTCCCGAAAGGGGTGGATTTGGAGGGGGTCCCACATCGATTGGAGAAAGGAACGAGTATCAGTGAGGATGCTGGGCCCTGAAGGGGGTGGATTGTGAGAACTCACCTCGGTTGGGGAGGAGAACGTAACACCCTTTAATAAGGAGTGTTTCCTAGCAGATAGACACGTTTTAGAAATCTTGAAAGAAATCCCGAAACTCGGAAAAACCAAAGAGTATTATCACAAAGGTTTTGGGTAATTTTGAAGATTTTAGTAGTAAAATAATTGATGGGTTTGGATCACCTGGCAATTTCTGGGGATGTGTATAACAAATCCCATGCTCCCATTGAATGGTGGGAATGAATTCATCGATCAAAGGATGAAGCTTGTGAGCATCACACCCAACTTTTCCCTCCAAATGTAAGAGAAGCTCTTGATCCGTAGGGTCAAATCTCACACCAGCAGGCAAACCAGGTAGTATATGAATTCCAGCTCCACCCTATAATTTTGTTTAAAAAAAAAAAAAGTAAACAAACACAAAAAAAACCAAAAAAGAACAAAAACAAAGATCAAAAGTACCTTTTCTGGGGATTTGATTTGATGATGGCCGCAAGAAGGACAAGAAGAACTGGAGTTGGTAACATATTTATCCACAAACTGTGTCATGTGTCTTGTTCTTTGAGTTCCTCCCACATTCGACAACAATGGAGCTGAAATTTCATGTGGGGTTTGGTTAAGTAGAAAAAAAAAAAAAGGGTTTCTTTGGTGTCAAGTTTTAATGTCAATAAGAAGAGAGTTCGATGAGAATAAATGCAGTTCCTGATATGGTTTAGGATTTTTAAAACTAACACTCAAAGATATAAGAAGAAAGAAGTGAGTGGAGAGGGAGGCTACCTAATTTGAGAGACAGAGACAAGAGGGAAAAGGGCTGTGTTTTTGGTTTTGTTTTTGTGTTTTTGTGTTGGTTTTTTCAGGTTTGATGTCACTGTGGAGTGTTGATAAAGCTTGAGCTTATAAAAATGAAGTTTTATGTTTGCGTGGGATGAAAGTCCCACCTCGGCTAATTTAGGAAATGATCATGAGTTTATAATCAAAGAATACTATCTTCATTGATACGAGGCCTTTTAAGAAAGTCTAAAGCAAAGCCACAAGAGCTTATACTCAAAGTGGACAATATCCTACTATTGTGGAGAGTCGTGTTTATCTATCTAACCGTTTGATGTTAGAGTTCTTGGCTTTGGTTTTCGCCTTGGCCTGCAATGCAATAGAAGTGCCAACCAACTCCACCATATATCACACAGACTGAAACCAACAACGAAGACGACAGTATTTTAAACACATGACGTTTAAGGAACAGCAACTACTTTGAACTTGCTACCTTAGCAGCTACTGATTATGAAACATTTGAAACTTTACCTATTTTCAGCTTTTCCACCCCTTTTCCATTTCAAATTTCCTCTATTTTTTTCGACGTGAAATGGAGGATCGTAAAACTATGTGTTTAAAGAATGGTGCACTTTTGAGTGAAATCGAGAGTCTGATTATCGAAGTGGATAATATTGTATTATTATGAAGAGTTTCACGTTGTTATTGACACTACTAGAAGAAAGTTATTTGTGAAGTCCCACTCGGTTAGAGATAGGAACGAAACATTCTTTACGAGGGTGTAGAAATCTCTCTCTAAGAGATGCATCTCGAAAATCTTGAGGCTGATGGTCGTAACTGGCCAAAATGGACAATATTTATTAGCGGTGGGCTTGAGTTGTTATATTATCATTTTTTTGTATGACGGTTAAAAAAGAAGAAAGCTTCTAAGTATTTTAGATGAAAATGGTCTATTCCAACGTCCTTTTTTAGTTTAAAGTTATTCTCGAAATTATTTATATAGTTTTAGAAAATAATATTGTTTTCTTGTTTTGAAAACATTAATTAAAGTGATATTTTATCTTTTTATACTTTTTCTTTTTCAGCCTCACCAGGGATACATACGTGTCTTGGATGCTTTCATTAGATGTGTCCATAGGGCCGAACAAGACTGGAGAGCGTCTCCATTCCCGCCACCTATTTCATCTCCATCTTTTTGTGAAATTCTCCCTTTATTTGTGCAGAGATCACCCGAGGGAAATTTGCTTGGATCAGATTCGTTGGGTAATTTTTCTCCATTTATTATTTTTTTAAAAACTTTATTATTTTTTAATATAATATTTATATAAAAAAATTCTTAATAAATCAATATATTTCATAAGAAATTATATTTATAAAGTTATACTAACACAATTTTAATATTACAACCAAGTATTTAGTTTAAATATTATAATTAAGATCTCAAAATTAACTAATTATTTTTTTAATATAGTCTCTATAAATAAAAACATATTCACCAAAAGCTACACATAATGGAAGAAAGAAAAAAAAATAGGTCCATAGTTTTAAAAATATTATTTCACTTTGTGGATGGACGACATGTCGTCTGTGATAAAGAAAGGTAGATTCGTCACTTACCTTGTAAGAAATCCAACAATCCCATGAAAACCCTTACTAATTACTAATGGTTATTATTTTAAATAATAAATTTATTTAATTAAATATATTTAGAATTTATATCCTTCCTGCCAACCGCTGGTCCGATGAAATCATAAAGTTGGGCAAAAGATAAATACGGGGCTAGAGTTTCCCTTAAGGTTTGTCGTCAATCATGATGCCACAGTTGAGACAAGTTCACCCGACAACTGACCAAGAGAAAAGACAGAACATAATGCCATATGACAAAAGAGAAGTCATAGTCATCAACTCGAGCTTGTTCCTAAGTTGACCAAGAGGCGTTAGTAAGATAAGTATTATGATGAAAGAAAACTCAGGTGCTTAGTGAATTTATACTTGGCTGAAGCATGATTAGTTCCAGTTAGTCGCGTCAGTAGCAGTCCAAAGTTCAAATCGTCACCAGATCGTGTCGAGATTAGGTGGGAGAAAATATAACGTGCGGCACAAGTACATTAAATAACGCTCTTAAACTTTTATGATATTAAACTAGAGCTGTTTCCAAGAATAGGTACAACCGATGTATAACGGCATTGTCGACAGTTTCTCTAATTCCTTCGAATTAAACAAAAAAGAAATATAACAGAATCCATCTGGATTTCAAAGAATTAAACCGATCATTTCCCAAACAATTAATAATTCGTAATTAAATATCTCACACTAAACCAAAGGAATTATTCATTCATCAAAATGGAAGGGGAAATGGAGAGCCAAAATCAGCAAGCACTGGCCGCCGAGAATCCCAGAACGCCATTGTTACAGAACGCCGGAAAGCCAACAAAAACGCCGACCCAAAAAGCCATTAGAAAGACCTTCAAAAAAACAGCCCATTTAGCCAACCTCCTCCCCACCGGCACCGTCCTCGGCTTCCAAATCCTGTCCCCCATTTTCACGCACCAAGGTCACTGCCACACCACCGTCAGCCAAACCTCCACCCTCGCCCTCCTCCTCCTCTGTTCCTTGTCCTGTTTTTTCCTCCTCTTCACCGACAGTTTCCGGGACGAACGCGGCAAAGTCCGATATGGGGTGGCCACGTTTCAGGGCTTGTGGGCCATTGATGCCTCCACCACACTGCCCAAGGAGGAGGCTGCTAAGTATAGGCTACGGTTTATTGATTTTTTTCATGCCTTTGGTTCTCTGTTGGTGTTTGTAGCTGTTGCTCTGTTTGACGAGAATGTTGTGAAGTGTTTCTATCCGACTCCGTCCGATGAAACAAGGGAGGTTTTGGTTGTGTTGCCTGTCGGAATTGGTGTGTTGTGCAGCTTCTTGTTTATTGTTTTTCCTTCTAAACGACATGGCGTTGGATTCCCTCTCTCTCGTCAGTAGCGACGAAACAAGAGATGCTACAAACAAGTTCTTGTTGAATTCTTCAATTTCTCTAAGCTTTTGTATTCTACACTCATTATTTCACTTAATCTAATTGAATATTCGACTTTCCATGTCACATGTTGTTCATTTACATTAAAAAAAATGGTCCATCTTTCTCCCATGTTCGACTATAAGCCGCCTAAACCAGTCCAAGTCCACTACTAATCGAAATTGTTCTCTTTTCCTTCTTGGTTTTCGGGGTTTCCCCTCAAGTCTTAAAACGCGTATATTAGGGAGAGATTTCCACTCTCTTGTAAAGAATGTTTCGTCCCCTTCACCAATTGACGTGAGATCTCACAATCTACCCCATTCGGAGCCAAGCATCTTCGCTAGCACACCGCTCGGTGTCCATCTTCTTCGAGGCCCAGCGTCCTTACACCCTTACAATGAATGTTTCATTCCCCTCTTCAATTGATGTGGGATCTCACAATCCACTCCCCTTCGGAACCCAACGTTCTCCTAGTAAATCGCTTGATGTTCACCCCCTTCAAGGCCCAACGTTCTCGCTGGCAAACCATCCGATGTCCACCTCCTCCAAGGCTCAGCGTCCTTGATGGCACACTTCTCGATGTCCACTCCCTTCGAGGCTCAATGTCTTCATTGGCACACCACCCAGTATCCACCTCCTACCGGGCTCAGCATCCTCATTGGTAAACCGCCTGATGTCTGGCTCTAATACCATTTGTAACAACATAGGTCTACCACTAACAAAAATGGTTTTCTTCGGATTTAAAAACATGACTGCTAGGGAGAGGTTTCCAGATTGCTATACAAATGTTTCATTCCACTTCCCAATCGACGTGGGATCTCACACAACTCTTGAATACATCAAGAGGCATAGTATTCCAATCCAATTCTAACCATATACTTTTCACATAAAAATGTGGACTACTTGAAGTTTAAGTTCATAAACTTAGTAATTTAAGCAAATTATTATTCTGGGTCAGTTGATTTTGACCTAAACCCAGTTCATCGCATCATCAAGATACACGAAATGTGATTCCAGGCGCAAACAAGATCGAGGTCAACAAAACGAAAATTAAAGAATCAAAGGATGAATTTTCCATAAATACAGAGCTCTGTTGTCATAACATGTGGAATACAATACAAACATAACTAAGAACTAAGCAGACAAAGAAATGGATGTAATAATCAATATCAATAATCAAAACGAAATCCGAAGCAGAACTAACAGGGTATTTGGTGAGTGAACCATCGGAGCACCTTCACCGGCAGCTTGATAAGCCCCATCGCCAGATTCGCAAGCCCCGCACAGCACACGCAACATGGGCAGAGGCAACTCAGCACAGATCTGCAACAAAAACAGCGCCATCGCTTCAGTTCTTGTCAAATTCATCAGTTCAGAATAAGCAACGAACCAAGTGATAAAGAAGAACTCACCCGATGATCCAAATTACGGCCCCAACCACAGATAAAACCAACGCAACCAACGCAAATGGCAGCCCCAGCAAGAACCCTAATGGCCTGCAATCGCCCATCTTTCTTTCTTTCTTTCTTCCTCGATTTCTCAGATTCAATGTCGAGATTTATAGACTTTCTTCGCACAACTGCAGCCCACCACCACCGCCGCCGCCCACTTTGGTGAATGAATTGACCTCTCTGCCCTTCAAGATGGTGCCCAATGGATCTGGGTATTGGAATAGTCGTGGGGTAGTTTTGGGAAGCTTTGTGCGCGTTGCATATGGTAAGCGCTGACTTTTCTTCGATTTTGAAGCGTTGACGGAGATTCCACGCCGGTTCGTTCGTTCGTTTTAATTTTCAAATATTGAACTGGAATTTTAAATTCGACTTCAAATTTCAAACCCGCCTTTCTCGGAATCCCATCGCCCGTTCTCCGGTTCGAATCTCGCCCCTTTAATTTCATCTTCCTTTAAAATTCACTTTTCATCCCTCAACTTTTTTAAAATATCAATTTATACCCTTAACTTTAAAATTTTGTATATATTTATTTAAAATTTATAACGTCATTAAATTGTTTAATTTTGATATCTAATTATTAGAATCAACTCGAATATAACTCAATTAATTAAAATATAAATCTATGATCAAAATGCCGGATTCAAATTTCACCTCTTATAATATGTTACTGAAAGAGAAGCCTCCCATCAATATCAATAAATTTAACACTAAAATTAAAAATTTAAAGTATAAATAGATAATAGTTTTATAAATTACAAATAATTATCAAAGGGCACGATAAGTGTGAAAATCAAAATTACATATAATTAAATTAGCATTAAATACGTATATTTTTAGTAGAAATAAATAAAGAAATAAATAAAATGGTAATATAATACTCCAAATGAACAAAAGGACAATATATAAAACAAAGCTTGAAATGAAAAGCATCTAACTTTTGAAAACTCTCTCTATATTTTCCCATAATGTTATATATATATATATATATATTTATTTATTAATTATTATTATTATTATTATTTATAATTGGAACAAATAACTTCCGACCACAAAACCTTTCAAAACGTTGTTTCTATGGAAGGACAAAAATCTCTTTAGAAACCATAGCACTCATAATCAAATGTTTAACAACATTTTAATCATATGGTTATCCTAATTTTTACTTCTTTTCTTCCTTAAAGAAAGTTCTAGAAAAAATGATCTATCAAGTAATTCATACTCAAGCGGGATGTAATATCGAACATACAATTACCATTTTAAACCTAACTTGGGTCGAGACATTATCTATAAAAAAAATAATAATAATAATTTGATCGAGTTCAAGAAACCATAATAATTCGCTTAAGCATATAGGATAACCGTTCATATACAAATCTTTTTACTCTGTAGTTCACACGAATCACAGCTAAATAGTAAGAGCAAGTTGTTTTATTGTTATTATCGAATTGAGAGTGCTTAAACCTCTCATTTCCCTTGTACTCTACTTTATTCACTAAAAATCGAAAGTTATTTTATAACAACTCAAGCTCACCGCTAGCAGATATTGAGTCCTTCTATAACAACCCAAGTCTACCGTTAGTAGATGTTGTCCAATTTGACCCGTTACGCATCACTATCAATTGTAATAGCCCAAACCCACCACTAACAGATGTTGTTCGTTTTGGCTCGTTACGTATTGCCGTCAACGTCACAGTACTAAAATGCATCTGTTAAGGAGAGGGTTCTACATCCTTATAAAGAATGCTTCATTTTCCAACCAACGTGGGATTTCACATATTCATTTCATATATTTAAATCCTTATACGTATTCTAGATAAGTTACAAATTTGAATAGGTGAAGTTGACAATGGAATAAAAAATCTGTCCGGGAAGGAAGGGGTGAAATTTTGGATTGATATCGAGTCGTTGGAGCGTCGAGGGGACCTCAAATTTGAGAAAAGGATGACTGATAGTGAAAGCCAAAGCCATATTTACAGCATATATATATAGTCCAACAGCAACAACAATTATTGCAGGGCTTGAGGACCCATTTTACAACATGTATGTCTATGTTGGTTCCCGACCATTAATAAACATTAATACTGTCCTTCCTTTACCCTTGTACTAACGAATTTAAATCATAGATGTCATCAAAACTTGTTACTTACTTTCTTCTGCCTCCCTATCCATATTGCTTTCTCTTACGCCCACTTCCCTATACAAGATGCAATTTTTCTTCACATGTTAACTTCGGATTCCCTAACGTGTGTCGCTCTCGTGGTCGGGTCCCATTCTAGATTCGAAACGATACGACGAAGTCAAATAGTTACGTTAAGCATGGCGAAGATTATACTCGGAAATCATGTGTGGTTCCTCTGTCCCTAACAATGAATATCTAATTTGCTTTATTGTAGGTTTGGGCATGAATTTTTATGTTGTCTTTACTTGTATGTGGTGTGTGTTTTTTGTAAGTTTTTTTTTCCACAAAATCTACTCAAGATTTCTTCTTCATATCACTTTTATTTAGTCTCAGTTTATTCTTTGTATATGGTTTCAGTTCATTCATATATGAATCATTTATCCAAGCGTTACTAAAAATACTTTTAAAGAATAAAACATTTTGTGACCAAACAAACTATTTTAATGCTTTGTTGTATACTCCAAATGTAACGACTCTAATTTCATACTGAAATAGAGTAGCTATACCATGTATATTGTAGCGGCTCTATTACAGTAGGAAATTAGAGTTGTTATAAATGATATCAAAGCCAGACACCAACTAATGTGTCAGCGAAGACATTGAGTCTCTAAGGAGGTAGATTATGAGACCCATATCAATTGGAGATGTGAACGAATCATTTTTTATAAAGGTGTGGAAGACTATTCCTAACAAACACTAACTTGCTAGCAATAGACTTCAATTATTACACCAAAAATAGCATATGACTAAATCATGTGACACTTCAAAGTGGAACAAAACATGTCATGTTTGACCAAAGGGGGTAATTTTAGCATAAAATAAGGTTGTTATGTTTCCTTTTTCTTTGTCTTAGTAGGGTTCATCCTAATGGAATTTAACACACAAATATTAGCTTAATTATAAGTATATCCATCTAGATAAGATCATAAAATTATTCTTTTTTTAAAAAATAGAATTGATTTGATTTGATTTTCTTGATTACGATATGAAATCTACGTAAATCTTCCACAACTTGTTGCATATCCAAGAAAAATTGTATTTTGATATTGTATTTATACATATATTCTTCAATTGGGTTTGCCCACATGATCACATCACTGTCTTGATTCACTCTACAACACATATATCCATTACATGTTTCTATGTCAATCAACTTCCCATTCCAATCCTCTCTGACATCCTCTCTCTCATTGAAAGCTTTTTGAAAACCCAATTATTTACTTCACGAGCAATCACTTGCAGCTCTAAGAAAATTCAAAAAAAGGGCATCCACAAGCACAAATTTGTAAGGGAAAAGGAAGCTGTTGAATCAGTGGCGAAACACAACAAGAACATTCAAACAAAATCTCAAGTTGTGGCCGACATCCAAACCCTTGTTTTCCCCTTTAGAGTACTCTTTACATCGATTCAAGCAATACCCATTTGAGATTTCTTGTGATTTCATGCAAAGTTTGGATCTTTAAGCCATTCTATTCTACTTTGTAATGCTTGCTGTGAGAATTTGCAACAAAGATGAAGAACAAGGAGAAGTGGATAGCTTTTCGATTGCGGCGGAGGGCTTTCCTGACTTTGATGATGATACCCATTTGCTTGATAGCATCAATTTTGATGATCTTTTTGTGGGAATCAACGATGGAGATGTGTTGCCTGATTTGGAGATGGATCATGAACTCCTCGCTCAATTCTCCGTCAACAATTCGGTGTCTTTTGAACAATTCGACGACAATTCAAAGAGTGTTAACAAAGATGAGGGCGAGGAGGAGGGGAAAGCTCATGGGGATCAAGAAATTGTGAGCAAAATAGAGGAATTGGCAGCCAAATCAAAAAATGGTGATAAAATCAATAAATCTTCTCCTCAATCCAAGAACTCACAAGGAAAGAGAAAAGTTAAGGTAAAAGATAGGTTTTTTATTTTTATTTTTTTCAATTGGGTCTTTAACCGTTGATCATTGGGAGGGAGTCGGAGGATTTAAGAAATGGTTGTGGGTGAGACTGAACTTATATTCAAAATGACAATATCATATTATATCATTAGAGAATTGTGATTTCTAATATTTAGTTGAGAAGAGATAAGAAAATTATGAACTTTGGGTAGGAGTCACAAATTAGCCAATTTAAGAAATGTTCGTAGGTGAGACTGAGCTTAGCTCAAAGTGAACAATATCATATCATATTATTGGAGAGCCATGATTTCTAACATTTGGTTGAAGAAGGTGTAAGAAAGTTATGAACTTTGATCGAATTGAAGCTGGGAAGAAGTTTTATGATTAAGCTGGATGAATTGCAGGTGGATTGGACGCCGGAGCTGCACCGTCGGTTCGTGCAAGCGGTGGAGCAGTTGGGAGTGGATAAGGCAGTGCCTTCTAGAATATTGGAGCTTATGGGAATTGAGGGTCTCACTCGTCATAACATTGCTAGCCATCTTCAAGTATAATTTCACTGCTAAATTTATATAATTTAGGTCTCTAGACATGTTTTGTTTTTAATTTCTTAAGTTGTTTGACTGAATATTTAATTAAGGAGTTAGATCGGTTTTTATGAGTAAAAAACACTGTTTTAGGGAAATCAAAAGGAAAATGATGAAAATTTATGTTTAAATTCGACAATAAATACGCGATATTGTGGAGATTCATAGTTTCTAACATCTAATTAGGGCGTAGCATGTACTTTGTTGTAGAAATACAGGTCGCATCGAAAACATTTGTTGGCACGTGAAGCGGAGGCGGCGAGTTGGAGTCAAAGGCGGCAGATGTACGACCGCGCCGCCGCAGTAAATGGTGGTGGAAAAAGAGAACTCAGCTCGTGGGGTGCACCGACGACTATGGGATTTCCGCCCATGCATCCCCATTTTAGACCTTTGAATGTGTGGCCAAAGTACCTACAACATTCACCATCTCCACCACCTCCGCCGGCGTTGTCGTGGCCATACGCCGCCGCTCCTCCCCCGACCCATGACCCTTCCTACTGGCACCACCACCAACGGGTATGAGGGGAAAAAAAAAAGAACATTTTTTTCTGTCTTTTTTTGGTTTGGTTTCTCTCACTCACGAGGTTTGTAAACGTTTATTTGTTTCTGTTTTGGTGTTTTGGTGTTGTGCGTAGGTTCCAAACGCTTTAACCCCAGGAACGCCATGCTTCCCACATTCTTTACCGACGAACACGGTAATTTCGTTCGTTATTTTTTGTGAGATTCGAGAATACTTCTCTATTCCCGCCCCGTCCATGAACATCTTCTTAGAAATCATGAATCTTTACAATAGTATGATATTGGTAGAGAATATTTTTCTATTCACGCCCCCACCCATGAACATCTTGTTAGAAATCATATTTCTTACTTTATAAATCCATGATCAACTCCTTAATTATCCGACGTGAGACTCTTCTCCCAACCATTCTTTTTTCGAACAAAGTACACCATAGAACCTCTCCTAACGAGCCCTCAAACAGCTTTCCTTTAATTGAGGCTTGATTTCTTCTTTTACTACAGCTTCAATGCTCACAACTTATTTGTTTGACATTTGAGAATTCTATTGACATGACTAAGTTAAGGGCATAGCTCTAATATCATGTTAGAAATCACGAACCTTCAAGCGTGGTATGTTATTATCCACTTTGAACATAAGCTCTCATGACTTTACTTTTGGTTTTCCCAAAAGACCTCGTACCAATTGAGATGTACTTATGATCAACCCTCTCCCAACAATCCTCAGTTGGGTATTGATTTTGACGAGTTTATAGCTAATAATCAGTGTTATTTTCCGATGTAGAGATTTGGTGGGGCAATGTTCTCGGTAATCCCACTGCCCCATCCACCGTACAAACTAGACCTCATCACCGTTGGCTGTTCACCCTCGCATCCTCCCCTCGACTCGTATCCAGTAAGACAACTTCATCGCCATCTCGTTTTGCACTATAATTCTTTAACCAATTCTAATTGTAATACAATGGGGGATGTCATGCAGTCAAAAGAGAGTATAGACTCAGCTATTGGAGATGCTTTAGCGAAGCCATGGCTGCCACTTCCTCTTGGCCTAAAGCCTCCCTCTTTGGACAGTGTCAAGGTCGAGCTTCAACGACAAGGCATCCCTAGAATACCACCCTCCTGCGCGTGATGGGTTCATCATTTCTTCCGACCAGCCCGACAGCTCTTGGATGAACTTGACAACATTAGTTATGTGCTGCATTACATCATCATCTAAACTTGGTTCTTTTCTTGCTTTTGTAAGAGGGTTATCCATGGCATATAATTGATAAGCAACTGAGAAAACGTACAAATATCTCGACTTTGTATATCTAATAACTATTAGAAAGCAGGAAGGTTTTTAAATCTACATCTAACAATTATTATGAAGCAATTTTAGAATATTAGAGGTAGGAGAGAAACTAAATACTATTTTCTTGAGAAACAGAGCCACATTGAAGAATTTCTCGGGCTAGAATAAGAAGTTAAAATATTTTCATTCCAAGAAATTCAAGCAAAGTGTAATAATATTCTACTTAGTGTCTTGTAATCTATTCTCTCGATTGATGTTAATAATTAGTGCGTGAGTTTCCTATAAACATGGTCTTCAACATAAGAATTTCTATAAACAATTGAATATAATTTTTAATGAAATTAGTTAATATTAATAATAATTTATATGTCATAAAAGAGAGAAGGAGAGAAGGGTGACTAAATATTTTATAAGGATTTTAACAATAAATTGACCCTACAAACTAATATTAAGATTTATTAAAAATATAGAGTAAAATAGAGTATTTAATTAAAAAAAGTTTTATTAAAAAATGTTAAATTTAAAAATAAAATTGAGAAAAAAAAAATACCAAACCTAAATAGAAAGCATTGAATTAAAATAAGAAAAAATAAATAAATAAAGAGAAAAGAAAAGAAAATGGGAGAGAGTGACAGCTGGCCAAAGCCCGGGCCCACTTGTCAGTGTCTTGTATCTTTCAGCAATGCACACACTAATCTCAGATTGCTCCCCCACGGGCCCCACTCCCTTGTGATACTTTTTTTTCCCTTCATATTTTCCATTTTTGCACTCTCATCCCTCAATCTTTTCCAATTTACAATAATTCCCATCCAAAATTAGATGTTAAAAATTTAGTTTATATGATTTTAAAAATTAAAATTAACCCGTGTGATTAAACCTTACACTAAAATCAAGGTAAAAAAACTACTTATAGACGGTTAAAATAAATGAATGGAACTCATTAAAATATCTCTAGAAAAGAGTATGATTTACAATACTAAGGGAAAAAGATTCGATCTAATTACTTTTGTAGAGGCGTCTTTTAGACCGCATCATGTGGAAATCCATCATGATTGCCAACCTGCTCGTGAGTAGTAGATATGAAGATTGTGAGGGATTGAAGCTGTTGAAGATTATTGAGAGAAGAAAATCATAAGTTTATAAGGAACATCTTCGTTGGGATGAGGTTTTTTTTTAGGAAACTAAAAACAAAGTTATGAGAGCTTAGGTTTAAAGTTGACAATATTATACCATTGTGGAGGTCCATGATTCTTAACAAAAACATAGAACAATCGACTAGTTTTAAACGGGACATAATGAAGTCACCTAGGCCTGGCGATGTGATTCTGTTCATAGCACTCTTCCATTGTAGTTAGAATTATATGAATCAAAACTGTTGAGTACCCTGGCGACCAGTTCAGTGTACAGAGCACACATAGTCCAAACCATCCATCTTCCAAATGGGTCCTAATTTACACAACCTTTTCTTTTCCATCTTCTTATCTTCCATTCTTTTCTGCTTCCTTTTGTTTTGTTTTCAAAGTTTGAGACCATCTCGTAATATTTCTGTTCATAAATAAGGCTTCTGCTTCATTTCTGTGTTGTCTTGTGGCCTCTCTTCTGTTATGGCTCTGCTTCTTTTTTACATCTTTCCTACCAATTTTGTCGCCTATGTGCGATGGGATAGGTGACGTTGGATGAGAAACGATGCAAATCTTATCTCAACGAAAGTTAGATCATAAATTTGAAATTCTACACGTTTAAAATATTTTTTTTTTTTGTGTAGGGTAGTAGTATTGATCTCTTCTTTTAGCTATCACCATTAGGAGTTATAGAGGTCTGGTAGAGTAGGATAGTCGAGACAAAGAATCTAAAATACCTTAGTTTTAGAGTAGGGTAGTGGAGACAAAAAATCTTAATTAAAGATGATTCATTTAATTTGTTTGGAGGAAATGGAAGGAGATTTCTGACAAATAGGTTGAACTTTCCAATCACATCAGTTAGCTACACTTTTCAACACTATATTAGTTAATTCAATCAAACCATTTCCTGAAATTTCCTCTCATGGGAAAGCTTCGGTTTGAAAGCAGGAAAAAACACAAACAAAAACAAATTGTAGTTTTGATACTAAAATGAATAGTAGTTTTTCCTCTCAATTACACATTCAAATTCAATTCAATGCACAAAAACACACTAGTTGATAGTACTTTCTGTTCAGAATTGTATAATTTATCTTTTAGAGCATAGTTCGACAACATGCCTACTTGATTCTTATAAATAAACAGCACAGACAATGACACCAATTAAAGCCATTCCTTCATTAAACTAAGAAAAAGTACCTCGTGACATGAAAAAAAGATAACTTGCTAGTTTTGCCAGGAACTTTGTCGTCCCTTATCACTTCTTCTGAACTAAGCAATGCCAATTTAAGGTTCCTCACATGATAATATATGGCAACGACACTCTGGTTAGTGTCGCTGCTTTCGATCATCGTCATCCTCTTCATCAGAATCGCCACTCTCCCGAAACCTTGGATTCTTCTCCTGTTACAGCATATACTGTCAAATACTGAAGCATGGGAACTTATACAGCCAAAACCACAGAAAAGAAGTGTACATAAGAATTGTTTTATGGTCTGGTGACAGAACAGCATCGCATAGTATGGCTAAGGATTAATTTGTTATGCAGAAAGAACGGCAGTAAGCATCTGGTGCCTTTTACGTCAAAATTTAAGCACACAAAGATGAATTACGACAAGGCATTATTTAAAAATTACCGGTCTGGATTCATGATTGGAGTTTCTTCTAGACTCAAAATCTGAATTTCTCTTAGAGCTTTCATGGGCATGGCGATCATCGTCCCGGTGGCGCTTACGATGGTGGTAATCTAGTTTTTGAAACAACAATAATGTAATTGGACAAATATAAAAAAACAATGCAAATAAATTCTCATTCAAGATAGGATTAAACAGCTTTAGAAATTTGATACCTCTACCATGACGATACCCATGTCCATGGCTTCCACCATGGTTTCCATCTGCAGGGAAAACGAAGAACATGAAGATAAAGGCCTACCAAATCAATAATGTTTATGCATAGAATTCCTCATAGCAACTTACGCTGAGACATGACTGGCGGCATAGAGCCTAGTGAATCAGTACCATAATCCACAAGCTGCCTCTGTGCTTCTAACTCTTTCTGAACTAACTTTCCATAACCACCTCTACGTTCAATAAATTAAGGAAACTAAACGGAGATGAGAAATTTAAAGGACGTGAGGAGCCAAAAGGTTAGCATTTTTAGAAAGCCTTTACATATGAATGGAGCTATGATATTAAATCAACAAAAGTTTATAACGTGTGTATCACATACAATTTGAGGAACGACAGGCCACAACATGGAACTCAATAGGGTGAAGGTCGTTAAAGTAACACGGCTCAACATACTAATCAAGTTCATTTTTGGTTAGCTAAAGGGCCTATTTGGAATGACTTTTCAAGTACTTAAAACAATTTTTTTAACACTTGAAACCCCTTATAAGCACTTAAACGCCCACCCCCCACATTTTAGTATAAGTGATGCAAGTTGACCATTCTCACAAATGCAGCTATGGAACCCTCTGGAGATGTTTTCCTACAATAGTTGTAATGTAGGAAGCATGTACACTACGCTGGACACAGATTCATCCAGACACATGTCCAACATGCCAAAAAACATGTCTAATTCCTATGGTTCAAGAAAAAAAAATTAAAGTCTAGTCCATACAAGTCCAACCTAAAAAGTGGGGAAAACAAAAGAGGGACCTATAACATATTTTAACCCTTATACATAGATCATTCCTAAAGTATAAGGATCACAACTCCTTCCTCAAGCCATAGCCAGCCGAATAATTCTGTATTGCTAGTTGACTTGACTTTGTCTTTTTTTTTTTTTTTTTTTTTTTTTTTTTTTTTTTTTTTTTTTTTTTTTTTTTTTTTTTTTTTTTTGTCAAGTATATTTTGTGTATGTAAATTTACATGTTTTATCTATTATGAAGTATCACCAATTCCAATACATCACATATTCTATAAAAATGTGTCCCAATAAGTTCTACTATTTTAGAAATTGACATGACGTGTGTTTGAGCTTCTTGGGATGTAATAAACTTAATTTTATGAAGCCTGGATTTGTGTAGTTGTGTTTAGATTATGCAAAAAAAGGGAGGAAAAAAAAGAGGTATATAAATCAACAATATATTTGCAGTCATATATATATAGAAAGAAAGAAAGAATCACAAATCAAGATTGAATAAATAAATGGTACCAAAAAAATGCAACAGAGCATCAGACTCAAGGGTTTATAATCTATAACGTGAGTAACAGTATTAGAAGAAAAAAGGATATCAGGATCATAGTCTGTTCGATATTCATCACGCACCTGTGTACAAAAAAGCAAAAGAAAATAAACAGGAAGTGATGGTAGACTCCGAGTCGTGAAAGTAACATAGGTCAGAAACAGTACCTGCCCACCACTTCGACCACGGCCCCATTGTCTGCCATCCTGAAATCCCCAATCAAAATCCACACGAATAGGACGATCATCAAGAATTGTTCCACTTATAAATTTAACAGCATCCTCAGTATCCTCCCGAGAATAGTATCTAATAAAGAAAAGAAAAGAAAAGAAAAGATAAACAACAATTAAGAAATTTTCCCATAATTTGAAAGGCTTAGAGGCAGATATATGTATATAATTTCTTGCAGGAATGAGTATGAAAGGCATGAAATGAGTTAACAGTCTCAAGTTTAAAATGCACCCATCCCTCTAAAATTTTGGAATGAAATGGATCTAATATTGATAATTCAGTTTCCACCCAACCACCTTCAAATATTCAAAATGGTTTGCACTAAACAGGTGGTGAAATAGTGGGAGGGCATATCAAGCGATATCAATGGGAGGCCTATCAACATCGGGCAGTTTAAAGCAGCAAAAACATAAATAAGTATAGTAAATAATTTCAATGGCAGACTATTGATAAAAAGTACATCAAGATATTCTACTAGTTAGGAAGAGCTATGGAGTCTTACAGGACAAAACAAAAGCCACAAGGTGTTTTTGAATTCTTATCCAAACCCATGATTATCTTCTTAATTTCTCCAGCTCGAGAAAAGAGCTCATAAACTTGTTCTTCAGTCGTATAAAAGGACATATTTCCCACATAAACGGTGGTTGAAGACAGCAGTGCATGTTCAAATTCATCTTGTGTTCCCTGAAATCTTCTATCCCGATAAACAGAGAGCTTTGATGGGTCCTGCAGATGATAAAGTTGAAAGCACGAAGATTGTCACATATAGAATCATAGAAACATTATCTATCATCTAATTACATAAACGCAACATTGTTCATTCCAATAGATTTCCCAATCAAAGTAATTGAAACTTTTAATGCTCTTCAAATATTTAAGCCACAATGGCCACACAACCAAAACATCCATCAGAAGCTATAGAACGAATATCAAGAACAAAACCATTTATCCATTTTTTTGATTGGGGATATATAAAGGACCGGGGGAGTAAACGTAAGAGCCAATTTCAAACACCTGCAGCCAACTCCACCGTCCCCCAAACTAAAAGGGCAACACAGTTGGAAACAACATGAGTCTCGCAACGAACAAAATCAATGGACACAAAACTTCTCCCTAATCCAATTCATATAAACTCTCAAACATGCCCTAATAGAACTAGTAAAGACGTCGTTGAAACACCCCATAAACCCAATGGAGCAGAAAACGAATTGACTATAAAATTAAACAAACAAAGAAGCAATTTACCTTGAACAGTGAAGCCATGAACCCTAGAATAACCAAATCTGCGCTACAACTAGAAACCCCACTTTAGTCGAAGTAACTATAGCATTATATTTCGGAAAGTAGGCAATAATTTAATCACGAAGATCGAGAAACGGAAGGGAAAAAGGAGGAGGCAGAGGAACAGGGATTAGAGGCGCTTCAAATCAAAGTAGCAGATGAATTTCGGATTGGGTTTTGCCTAAGAGCTGAACTCGTTGGGTGCGCTCAGTCGCCCAATGCCGCTCGCGCGCTTCTTCCCTAGCGCTGCGTAATGCCATAATAAGGTTTCTTTTATTAATTCAAACAATTTTCATCCATTTTCACTATTTTTATTAATTTTCTTTTTATTAAAAAGGCCTTGGTTTATGCATTATTTACTCAAAGAAAGGGCCTCGATTTTACAATTATTACGAAAGCACCCCTTTCCATGGAATTATTCCCATAGTTGAAACCTCTCAGACTGAAAGTAGGGTTTTAGCGTTAACCCTCGCAGGCAACGAAGCAAGACTCGAGTTCTTTCAGAATCTATCATTTCTTCTGAGTAACAATGGCCTCAATTGGCGCTAGATCCGTTTTCCGATCATTTTCCGGCTCTGCTCGCCGTGCTGCTGCTCATATTGGTTCTCAAGCCCGTTCATCGTCAGGCTCTCCCTTTAGAATGGCAACTAACAAGCCCCTCTCTCATCGAACTTTCAGGTGCGTTGACTAAATGCTCTTGCGTCCATGAAAAGCGCGAAAAGATTCCGAGTCTATAGCTGCTTGAGTTTTTTTTTCTTTTCCTTCTCTTTCTCCAATTGGAGAAATGTTTCAATTATTAATATGTATGGTGATGTATTCGGCGTATGAAGGTGTGCGGCTGAGATGAGCTTCTGTTTGGAGTCGATAATGCCGTTTCACTCTGCGTCGTCGGCAGCTGTGATGATTTCAATGCTCTCTATCTCACGCCGCAGCTGCGGTTGGCTTCCCGAAGGTGCGCTAACTGATAATTTAGTTCTCAACTTCCTTGATCTTTCATGAGCTAGGTCGATATAGGAAAGGACTCTATAATAATTTTGTACAGTTTGTAAGTGATCATTTACTGGAAGTTGATTTTCTATTTGTATTAGTTCTCGGTTGGATGAATTTCAGCTTAATACTTATTCTCAAGAATCAAGAAAGGAAGTTGTAGTTCGAGTGGGGGTACTGATCAATAATATTTAGAAGTACTGATATCTGTATTACAGTTTGGTGGATACATTAGCCCCATTAACCGCATGCTTCTGGAGGAAGAAAGATCCATGCTACTATTCTTTGATTAAATTTGCTAACGTCTATGAACCATCAGGAGCTACACCATGAAAATATTTCCTATGGCTTAAATTTAGTGCCAATACGGTTTATCATGCCAAGTAGCTTGTAATTGTTCATAAGAATTTCCTGCGTACATAACGTTGGATCTGTTAACTCTAGTGATATGATATCTCTTCATGAGCTTTTGTTACCATTAACTTGTAAACATAGATTCTTTATCCCACTCCGTAATTTTCTTGATTTTATGTTTTGAAAGCAGAAGTGGATCTTCTTCTAGGTTGTCTAACTAGTGGATTTTTTTACTCTTGAATTAGGTAGCTAGCACACTTTATAGGCCCATTGATGTTCTTCTTGCCTTCTTGTTGCTCTGGTGAGTTGGTGCCCATGAACTTGTATAAAACAGATACAATTGAACGGAATTATATAATAACATGCATGCATAATAAGTTGATCATTTTTTCCCCCTAGTGGACAGTTTATTACATCAAGTAGCTTATCTCAAGTTAGGATGCAAGCAAGCTTAGCATACAATATTGTTTCGTTCTCTCTTTTCTTCACCTTCCATTTCCCGTACTTGGATCAGAGTTTAAGACCTAAACCTTCTCTTCGTAGTTTTTTATTCTTACTTGAATAGGTCACTTATGAGAAAACCTTCCATTCTTTATTCAAATTGTTAATTAAAAAACTACATTCCCCTGTTTTATATGTAGGCAAAGACAAGACTAGATGAGGATCGGGAAGCAGGAAGGAATGACTTGAGTTGTTTTTTGATTTTCACCTTTTAAGTCCTAGGCGTTGCATACCCCCCTGCCCCGCCCTTCAGACAAAAAAGAAAAAAAAAAAACCATAGGCGATGATATCATCAATAGGTTAGATGAGATTATTGTATTTGGAATGAAGTAATAAACTATGGTATTCTATTCAGTTTTTTGTATTTGTAGATTGTTGTCTTTTGAAGTGTTAATGGATTATATATACAATTTAATTCTGCTGCAACTATATGGGGTTACAGATTACTAAATCCTTGCCGAATAAATTTTGCTTCTAAATAGTTTATTGTTTGCTGTTTTGCAAAATTTACTTTGTTCTCAAGTATTTGGTGCACTACTTCATATAGATGGGGGTGGCAAACTCAATTATATTACTCTGACCATCAAGTACCATGGAAATAGGGGTGAAGTCAGGGATATAAAGAAGAACATAGGTAAACTTTGTTACTTATTCGTAACAAGTAAATCCTTTGCTTTGGACATAAAAAGTATCAATATTTTGGGGTGCTAGATCCCCATCACAAGGTTTGACACGATCCAGAAAGCACTTGAACATTATCAACTTTGTAAGCCTACTTGGGTATTGAGTATATGTAAGAACGAAACTCCGTGCAATGGATAATTGTAACTTTGGAAAACAGAATCTGCTATGCTCACTTTTTTTTACATTGAATCAATCATTTATTTTATATCTGCTTGGATATGGATAAGATGATTTACTTGATGGGCAAGGTCTAGTCTAGGATGACCGAGTTGTCTAATTAAAAATGGAGTTATCCTCTTTACCAGTTTTGAGCTCTTGAAGTCAGAGATAGTTATCAATGTCACAAAACAAGAAGTTTGCTGTTACGTATTTCTAGTTCTTGCTGTCTGACTGTCCTTTGTTTTGTGTTCTAGGGCGGTGATATTCAATCAGCTTGTCTAACATGAAGGCTTGCCACAATGTTGAACTTGCCATTTTCATCACCTGTCTGTACCTCAAGCTGTCTTATTCTATCTGAGCTGTAACAGAATCTTTCCATATCCCATTTTCCCAGATGTTCTAAATTCTGTTTCCTGGCTTTTCATAGGACTTGATTCAATATAGATAGATCGTCTGCAACACTCCCTATTACATCTTCTTTTGATATAATACTCAAAATCAGAATCTAGATGTGAGAACAGCATCCGGTTAGTGATTTGTCAAGTTTATCTCATTAGACCAAATTTTGTTTGTCTGTTTGTTTTGTTTTTTTTTTTTTTTTTTTTTTTTTTTTTTTTTTTTTTGCTCCATGTTCTAATTTCAAGCCAAGTTTATCTCATATGCACTCTGTTCGTTAGATGTGAGAACAGAATTCGTTAGTCATAGTTTTAAAGTTAGAATTTAATCTTTATGGTTTGATAAAATTTTATAAATAGTTTAGGGACTAATTCAAGCATTTTAAAATTATAAGGGTTAAATTCAAAAAAAAAAATCATGTAGATGAAATTTCCATTCAACTTTTTTTACGAACGTCGCTGCTACACCGTAATTCTCGAGCAGGCATTGATTACATCGGCATTTTGAAATTTGAAGCCACGGACAGCGGGCAGTGGCAACCCGTTGTTCAAGTATGCGTTTGCATATGGCAACAAAGTAGCTTCGACCACAGTATGAGCAACTGGCTGCAAATTTGCAACGTCGATGGATGATAAGTTGGCTTGAAACAGAACAACTTGTAGAATGTTCTGAATTAGGTGCATATGCAGATTCCCAATATTGCTTCATTTCCATGGCATCTCAAAATCATCCGAACCCTGCTGCCCATGAGGTTGTTCCCTGAGATTTCGGACCGGAGACTGTTGAGAATTGTTGAAAGAGGAGTCACACATTGGTTAATTAAAGAGTTAATCATAGATTTATAAATAAGGAATATATTTTGAGTCCCATGTTGGTTTGAGAACTTTTGGAGAAACTAAAAGCAAAATCACAAGAGATTATGTCCAAACAGAAATCTTGAGCTTAGATGTTTGGCTACCATTTAAAAGGTTTATGCATGAATGCAAGTACCTTACCATTGTGATGCACGCAACTGGGATCCATTATTCACCTTCTTCTACTACGTTGATTATCAAAAATCTGGTGCTCTGAAATTCTTATGACTGGAGGAGAAGAAAAAGAGATATTCAAGCTCATGTCAAACACAATTTAGTGCAGAAAAGCTACAAAACTCATTGGTAACAAAACCGGATAACTTGCACAAACTTAAGACTGAATTCTGAGATGATGTAGAACTCTGTGATAATCCTCAACCAACAAAGCATACACCTGAACAGAAGCACGTCGTTTATCAGAAATCTCCGCTGGAACAAGCCAAGTACTATAGGAATTGAAACACCCGAATCACGCGGTTTGACATCCGAGGAAGGAATATCAACGTTTCCAACAATTGGGATTTTGACAGTTTTTCAGATTCAGCCAAATTGATCGGAATCACACAAGAAATTGCCTTGCCAATCAGCAACCCTTTTGGGATATGACCGCAGATGTGAAGCATTGGGTCGATGAGCAAGGCCCGCGATGAACGAGGAAACAAAAATCAGAGGAAAAGCTACATAAGGCAGCTTGGAAACTTGTTACGGTGAAATGAAAGTCAGAATGTAAGTCACTTTTTCCGTGGGGTTTGTACAATTACTGCCCATAGCGTATTATTGCTCCTACTTCCTCCCTTTGTGGTCAAAGTTTCACCTTGGCTATTCGTCTCCGCCTGCGCCTACAAATAAAGAAGAAAAAAAAGATTGCCCCTCTTTCCCAGCGCGCGACATAGAAAGGGGTTGTGAAGATGGCATTACAAACTGGGGTTTCAACGTCCAAGGTTCTCATCCTCGTTGGAGCAGGTTTTTCCCGTTTCCCATCTCAGATTTTACCTTTTACGATCTCATTTATGCTACCATCGATGTTCTTCTCTGACTGTTGGGTTTCTGAATCATTGATTAGGGTTAACTGGTTCTGTTGTTTTAAGAAGTGGGCGATTGTCTGATTTGATATCACAACTTCAGGAATTACTGAAGGGTGTGACGGAGGAGGACCTCTCTCCTACTCCTTACAAGTATGATACTGCTGTTCTCGCCGCCCAGGTTTGTACTTTTTAGAACTCTCTCTGTTAATTGGATTCGTTGTTCTAAAACTCATACTTGTTATTGCTTTGTGTACTCATTCAGATTCGGCAACTGGCTCAAGAGATCAGGGAGCTGACAGTATCTGGTCCTGTGACTGTCTTTAATGGCAACTCTTCTTCTAGCGGTATGGACTCTTTGTTTAAAAATTATGGTTTTTAGTCTTCTTTTTCTGTATGCTCTTATTCAAAAATATTATGATCATCCATTGTTAGTGAAAAGAAAGAAGTGCAAGTTTCAGAAGAACTGAAACACTTCAAACTTTCTGAATTTAGCATCTCTGGTTTTGCCTGGGCTTAGTCACCATTTTTGAAATTCCTGAAGCTTGGCTCTTTTGAGTTTTCAACAAAGAAAAGTATCTTTAGGTGATCAAATTCCATGAAATTTGACTGTCAGTGTATGATTGTGAGATCCCATGTTGGTTGGAGAGGGGAACGAAACATTTCTTATAAGGGTGTGAAAACCTCTCCCCACCCGACACATTTTAAAACCTTGAGAAGAAGCCCGAAAGAGAAAACTCAAAAAAGACATATTTACTGCGGATGGGCTTGGGCTGTTACAAATGTGATCAGAGCCAGACATTGGGCGATGTACCAGCGAGGAGGTTGAGCCCCGAAGGGGGTGGACACCAGGCGGTGTGCCAGCAAGGATGATGGGCCCCAAAGGGGGGTGGATTATGCAATCTCACATCGGTTAGAGAGGGGAACGAAACATTCTTTGTAAGGGTGTGGAAACCTCTCCGTAACAAACGCGTTTCAGAACCTTGAGGGGAACTTTGGAAGGGAAACCCAAAGAGGACAATATCTGCTAGTAGTGGGCTTGAGCTGTTACAAATGGTATCAGAGCCAAGCGATGTACCAGCGAGGAGTTTGAGCCCTAAAAGGGTTGGACACCAAGCGGTGTGCTAATGAGGACCCTGGGCCCAAAAGAGGGAGGTTGTAAGATCGCACATTGGTTAGAGTGGGGAACGAAGCATTTTTTACAAGGGTGTCGAAACCTTTCCCTAGCAGACATGTTTTAAAACCTTGTGGGGAAGCTTAGAAGGGAAAAACCCAAAGAGGATAATATCTGCTGGAGGTGGACTTGAGCTGTTACTACTGTTTGTTTGATAATGGAAAGAGAACTGTTGGTTTCATAGTCTCCTGCACAATCACATCATGTTTTCTGAATCCGAAGTTTTAGGCCATTCAAGCTTAAGCTGGAAAAGTTCTATGGGTTATGTCTGGAACCCATAGAAAAGCTCGTGATGCCCAGATATGTTAGCATAATGATCTTTTCTTCTTTCAGGGAATTATGCTTCTTACTTGGTGCCAGCAGCTGCTGTTGGAGCAATGGGGTATTGTTACATGTGGTGGAAGGTAAAACTATTTCATTTTGGTTCACCAAAAAATGAAACATATTAATCGACAAGGCGTACCGTTAAGTACTATGTAGAAATACATTTTTATTTCCTTTCTACTATCTGACAGGGATGGTCATTTTCTGACATAATGTTTGTGACAAAGCAAAACATGGCAAATGCTGTGTCGACTGTCTCGAAACAACTGGATCATGTGCACGAAGCACTGGCTGTAAGTGGCTGGTTAGATATTATGTAATGACCTTGAAATGGAAAGCTAGTTCATGTTTAATGCAATACTTCAATTTTAAACCATTTTTGTGTTTAGTCAACAAGGAGTCATCTGACAAAGAGGTTGGAGAAATTGGATTGGAGGCTGGATGAGGAGATCGAAACAACAAATCTCATAGCAAATAATGTAAGACCTTACCTTCTTCCTATTTTCGAGTCTTGTTGTATATAATATTCTTAGGTAAACACACAAAGATGTTGTTAAACCTCGAACCACACTTTTTGTTGTCTGAACTATCTAATTAGATTCAGTATAGATTTTGTAACGGAGCCTAAGAAGAGGTTTTCACACCCTTATAAGGACAAAATATGCTGAAAGGATCTCTATTGGTTGTGGGATAGCATTTGCTTTTAGAAGTGAGGAGTAAGTAACGTGACCATGTCACGGGGGATGTAGAGGAATGTCGGGGCCATCAGATACCAAATCGAGATTCCAATCATGACCCAAATCATGGGCATGGATCGTTACAAATGGTATCAGACTGATACCTCTCCCAATAAGATGTGGTTTAGGGACGAACCAAGACAAAAGCTGGTGGGCATGTGACACTTGAATAAAGGAGGGGTACATAAATGAACCGGGACCATATCTGAATGAGAGTGATCCTGAGGATAGGATGGCTAAGAAAGGCTTAAAAGAATCGAAAGTTACTACCTATTCTAACAAGATGCACCTTCTTTTTCGGTGGTTCAATCATAGGAACTCTAAAACTAAACATGTTTTACTTAGAGCAATTCTATATCAGGGGAGCTCCTAGGAATTTTCCTAAAAAATATATGGGTGAGAACAAAGTATGTTGAAATGACCTATGTTGGTCTTGTAGGGATAGTCTTCACTCTTAGAAACGAGGAGTAAGTAACGTGACCATATTGCCAGAGATGTAGGGATATCAATTTCAGTTTACAACTTTGATATTTCTCCCATGGTTCTTGTGAAATAAGTCATATTTGTGGAGCATACTCCGGTGAGCCACTCATTTGAAGCTTTATCTGCATGCAGGTGGAGGAGGTTAAGTCCAACCTTTCTCAAATTGGTTTTGATGTTGAAACAATCCATCAAATGGTCTCACAATTGGTGAGTCACTCGCTACCTTAAAACTCTTTCCTAGGGTGCAAACCACAGACCGAGCTGTTCTTGAACGTCCACTGACCCGAACAACTAACAGGAAGGAAAACTCGAGGTTCTCGAAAAGAAACAGGACATCACAAATTCTGGACTCTGGTATCTATGTCAAGCTGCTGGAGACGCCAAAGACCGCATAACCGACAAGCTCTTCCCCGTGAGTAATTCTTTGCAGGCAAAGAAGAATGCAACGATCAAGTATGAGGAGAACTCCCTCAAGGTATGAGAATAGTGCAAGAAAAAGTTGCATCTTTTTCCGGACAGCATTTTGAAGAGCCCAATATTTGTTTCAGGGGCTGCAGTTCATCGCTGAAACTAAAGAGACCAGCATCACGGCAGTGCCAAATGGAGTGAAGGGAAACAGCCTTGACAACGGCAACAGTGACAAGCTTCCTGTAAGAAGAACAAGATTGCTTAGATCATATCCTGTTGGGATGTCTTTGGCACGAGACATTATGGGCTGTGATGCATAGTTCTTTGTTTTGCTACCATTTTCTGTCTGCTATGCTACCATTTTTTTTGTTGAGAAGCATTTGTGCTATGCTTATAAAATAAGGCGTACAGGTTTTACAAACACTTCCATTTGTTGTATAAATTGTTTGAAGAAACTGTGTCTCTTATCAAATCACATAAAGTTCGCATTTTTTTCTTCCTTCTCACTGACAGTGTTCTATCTCTTCTGTTCTATCTGACAAGGTTTGTTAATCAAATCTAAATCTCTTCCAAATCTTGCTTGCATTGGAAAGTTATTCGAAATTTGTTAAACCCAACTATTCAATTGATTGGATTAGTGAATAAACGTAAATCAAATTAAAAGTTTGTTGTTACAGCTAAGTGCTCGATTGGATTGGCTAAGTCAGCATCATTGACGTATTCTTAATCTTATCTCTGCTATTGAATAGGAAAGAAAAAGTCCATCGCTAACAGATATTGTCCACTTTAGCCTGTTACGTATCGTCATCAGTCTCATAGTTTTCTAATGAATGGTGTTAGGAATGTTTTATTCTCATCTCCAACCAATGTGAGACCTTACAATCCACTCTTGTTGGGGTCCAGTGTTCTCACTAGCACACGCTCTGATGCCATTTGTAATACCTCAAGCCCATCGCTAATATATATTATCTGCTTTGACCCGTTACATATCACTATTAACATCGTTATTTTAAGATAGTATGGTAGGGAAATGTTTTCCCCTTTATAAAAAAAAATGTTTCCTTTTCTTCTACCAGTGATGGAGGACTCACAAAAAAAACAAGTCTTCAACAACAACCACATGTGTTTAGTTTTTTTTTTCTTTTTAAAGAAAATAATAATATCGTTATTATGAATATTTAATTAATTTATTGTTTTTTCTTTTATTCCTGAACCGGGCCTGTGTTGACAACAATAGCAAGTTGGTTCAATGGCCCAAGATCTTTCGGGTTAGATTCGGGACCCGACTTTACCTTCTCCGTATACAAATGGAAAACGCAACCTAGGGATTCCATTCGTGCGTTCTTGCCTCCACTTCCACCGGCTTCTTCTTTGCCTTCTCTTCTTTGGTAAGGGTAAGCTAATTTCGTTTCTGAAGGTTAATATTATGTTTCTTTGTCATGTATTTATTCCGATTTTCCGACTTCTGTGTGCGGTTGATCCTTTTATGTTCGTTTATTCTCTTCCTCGGATTTGCTTGAAATATTGCGTTTTTCCGATAATTGTTTCTTGGTCGAGTGTTATATGGTATGTTGATGCGTTAGGTGAGATTTCAATGTTTTCAATTAAGATGGAGATCGTTGATTTTAGATCCTAGTTCTTTTTTTTTTTCCCTCTCTCGTTATCGAAGAATTCTCTTGTTCGTTCTTTTTAAATTAGTGATCGAACAGAAATTCAATGTTTTGAGGCTAAGTTATATAATTATGTATGCTGTAAGTTTATGAACAAATCATGTTACTAACGTGTGCAATACTTTATGGCATCTATAAATAGTAGCTGGTCGCTGCGATCCCTCTTTGTGCTCTTCCAACCGGGCCAAACCCCTGCGCTATCTCAGCCATGTCGTCCAAGCAAGGTATGATCTGTTTCCTCAAGGTTATGGAAAATTTGAGCTTTCTATTTCAATTTGATAGGCAGTATCATCGATCGGATTAGAAGACAATTGAGAAACGATTGGCTATATTGTGATATATAATCCCCTTTTTTTTCGATTTAAATTGTTATATAGAGAATCGATTTTGTTGTTTTTCTTTACAGGAGGGAAAGCAAAGCCTCTGAAGCAACCCAAGGCTGATAAGAAAGAATACGACGAGGTATGCTTTGAATTCATTATCTTTAGGTCCTATGTCGTATGTTTATTTTCTTCCTTGTTCGGATTTGGACGCAACTTTTGGTATCGATGTAATTTATTTTCTCTTTTAGAATTTAGATTGTTTGTTGTCAGTAGAATGACTCTCCACCCTGTATCGTGCCCGTGGCCATGTAATTTTTCGTAACTACTGTTTGAATTTTACTGGGTTTTGTCAACAGGTTGATATGGCCAATTTGCAAAAGAAGAAGGATGAGGAAAAGGTGAGATCTTGAACTTCAACGTTTCCTCTGATCGATTGATCGGTTGTGTCGAAGATTAGTACGAACTATAATTTTGAGTTGCTTGATGATGTTATGCAGGCGCTGAGGGAGCTTAGAGCAAAGGCCCAACAGAAGGGGACATTTGGAGGTGCTGGACTCAAGAAGAGTGGGAAGAAATGAGTCCTCCTACGCAACATATGTTAGATTACTTGATCTTAAATTGCAGATATCTGATGTCTTTCTAAGCAATTGATTGTGTGACATGTTATCCTCTGCATGAAACCGAATAACATGAAGTTTTCAAACGCTTTACTATTTTCTTGTTGTGTGTAAAACCTGGAAGAAGATAATATTGCTATGGTCCTTGTTTCTGGAGTGGAATGATTAATAGAAGTCGAACCCTTTGCAATATTCTAAACTATCTTTAGACCCAAAGCTAAATGAAATGAATCGTCGTAGGCTCTGCTTGGCTTTGGTATCGTGATTGCATTGTTTTGGATTTTTTGAACTCTGCAGCTTTATTGATTTCTTACTCCTTTTTACTCGGGAATCACTATATTTGAACTCTATTTTGCTTCGGAACTATGATGAATGTTTTGCTCCATGCTGCCTGCTGTATCTCAGAATTTATAGCAAAATGTGGGAAATTATCCTGGAGCCACTCAAATTAGCCCCATGTACCTTTAGGATTTGGGATGGTGTATTTGAAAAATGGCATTCAATGCTTTAAAAACACAGTAAATTTCAATAATATTTAGGAGAAGAACTAAAATATAAAGGAATAAAATAATTCTCTCCCTGCAAGGAGTGAGGATCCTGATTGAAGATCACTCTTGTCCATCAGCCTACTATGCCAAGAGGTGCTCGAGCAGGTCGAGCTTACTTTGCCAAGAGGTGCTCGACTTAGATGAAGTTGCAATGCATATGAAGGGATCATCAGCCTACTTTGCCAAGAGGTGCTCGACTTAGATGAAGTTGCAATGCATATGAAGGGATCATCAGCCTACTTTGCCAAGAGGTGCTCGAGCAAGAGCACAACAACCTATCCCAAACCCACTTAGATAAAGTTAACCCACTTAGATGAATCATTCCAACCAAAAGAAAGGAAGGAAAGTTCTTTTGAGCCGAATGATACATACCCACACATCAGAATTAATTATGATGACCTTCTCGAATAATCTCACGGACCAAAACGTGCTTGTGTTTATTTTTTCCTTACCACCACGAGGGCTCGATCAATGCACAAACTAGAGGGTTTTAACAAAAATTTAGCTTTAATATGGTGTATAAATTACAAAATTTATCAAAATTTGTGGGTATTCTCCGGAATTGAATAATTTAATGTCTACCCAACCACCTACGTTGTTGAGATTTGGGAAGAACACATAATACACAATGTTTCCACATTGTAGTACTTGGCAAAAGAAGATGAAGTTTCAGAGACAATTTGCCACAACATGAACGCTTGGACCCCTCTAACCACACACACGTCTCTTCTCAAGGTAAACGGCTCTGCCTCAAAAGAAAACAAGAAGAAAGATATTGATCCAGGCAAAGGCTTATCTACACACAGCCACCTCAAATAAACCCCAAATTTAATGTAACATGTTCTGTCACTCTCTTAGCTGGTTGTGTTGTAGTGAAGCTTGGCCTGGGCTGTATAAATAGCAGCCAAGGGGAAGTCATTTACAACATCACTAACCACTTCTTCTCTGTTCTTTCCCGTTAGAAATGAAGTCCAAAGGTTTTCTGCTTGTGTGTCTTCTGCTTGTGTCTGCTTTGGTGGTGTCGTGGGCTATAGAAGCTCACACAAGCGAAGATGAGCAACAAGGTATTTGTTTGTACCATGATTTTAATCCATGTTTGCATCAACAGATGAATATTGAAGTACGTGAATAATCATTAATTTGATGATCCTCTAGTTTCAGAGAATGTAGCCCAGGAGGTTGAAGAGGCTAAACATGGGCATGGTGGCGGCGGTTATGGAGGCGGTGGGTCTGGTGGCGGCGGTCAAGGTGGAAGTGGGTCTGGTGGTGGCAGTCACGGCGGAGGTGGGTCTGGTGGCGGTGGTCAAGGCGGAGGTGGTTATGGTGGAGGTGGGTCTGGTGGTAGTGGATCTGGCGGTGGCGGTAAAGGGGGAGGTGGATATGGCGGTGGAGGGTCTGGCGGAGGAGGGAAAGGGGGAGGTGGATATGGCGGTGGAGGGTCTGGCGGAGGAGGGAAAGGGGGAGGCGGCGGCGGCAGTGGCGGAGGAGGGAAAGGAGGCGGTGGATACGGCGGAGGTGGGAAAGGAGGCGGTGGGAGTGGCAGTGGAGGAGGAGGGAAAGGAGGCGGGGGATACGGCGGAGGAGGAGGAGGAGGCGGTGGAGGGTACGGAGGAGGAGGAGGAAGAGGTTATGAAGAGAGTGAGTATAAAAGAGGAGGAGGTGGAGGAAAAGGCGGCGGCGGCGGCGGCGGCGGCGGCGGCGGCGGCGGCGGCGGCGGAAAGTGAGGGAATAGATAAGAAGTAAAAGGGAGTGTTTAAATAACTTTGAAGGTAAATATATAAATATATAATAATAATAATAATAATAATAATAACGGGTTTAGGGTTTAAGAAGCATACTGAAATTGTATACTTCAGAAGCAGAAGCAAGCAGCGTTATCCCATAAATGTATGCCTCTATGGCTCAGTGGCAGTTCTGTAATTTCAACCTAATAACTATTACTATTACTATATATAAATATTAATACTAATATGGTGTTTCAACTTTTATCTCTCTCTCTTTATTTATTTATTTACTTTTTTATCAGCAACTTTTATAACCTACCAAACTACAATCATATGCATGTATACCACCCCCCAGTCCAATCATGCTCAATAATAGACGCTCGTTGGCATTCAGGTCGTTGGTGTTTCGAACGCCCGATCGGCTAATAAAATGCCTACGATATTCTCTTAATTATTTTTAGACCATATGCTAAATATTTATATATTTTAATTATGTAAATATAAATGTTAGTATGTTCCCTTTTCAACTCGGTCTAAACTATTAGTTTCTCAAAGTCTGAAGCGGCGTGATTTGTCGTCTTTCCAATTTACACCCAAATTTGGAAGGAAAAAAAAAAAAAGACATAAAACAAAGAAGAAAACGACGTGTCGTTTGAATTTTTGTTGGTTTCTTAAAATACTCAAAACGCCGTATGCACATCTCATCTTAATTGCTGGCTGTTGGTTGGGGAAGCCATTTGCAACTCACGTGACCCAATTTTTATTTATATATTATCATTCAAATATTTGTTTTTATATCCCCTAATTATGTTTTCATTTTATAAATTTTATTTGATCCCGAATCAATCGTACTAATTATTTAAATTTTTATTTATATAAAAAATATATATTTTTATTCAGACGTGTTTTTACCCAATAAATATGAATACCCTTATCATGAGTATAAATATAGAACGGATATTTTTTTTTACCATAGATAAAAGGAATCTTTGAAGTTTTCACCCAAGGGTATTAATGAAATTTTAACTATTTTCGAAAGTACATAATTTATAAATATAAAATTAAATTATCCATAACTTAATCCCACCTAATAATGGGAATCTTGGACAAAAACCATGAACCTGAAAATTAGAACATTGCTATCCAAATGTTCCCATTTTTATTTTATTTAAATAATTAATTATAATTTTATTCTATTAACCATATTATAGTGTGATCCATCAGGAGCTTGGTTGTATTATTTAAATCTATATTACAACTAAATGGATTTTTCTTTTTAATTATCATATTTATTGATGGAATCGAATAAAACGATCCAGTTGCCGGGCCTCCACCCATTAATTATTTCTTCTAAATTGGATTTATATACTCCCTTCTAAATCATGATTAGCTGGATTATTTCCCCATTATTGACCAAAAAAATAATGAGAAAATAAAATTATATTTTTTTAGTATGGTAGAAATTAAAAAAAAAAAAATCATGCTACAAGTGATATTAGAGTCAGACACTCAAAGATAGGAATAGAGGTCCCAGTATTCTTAATCCCCTGGTTAAATGAATTAGTTTAGTTATGTCGGAGCTATTTGGTGTCAATTCTTGGAGGGGAGATGAGTTAAGTTATTTATGGGAAAGGAGAAAGACAAAATGAACAACCACAACGTGTGAAACAAAGAGGAACCTCTACGGTCGTGTTTTCCAAAATTAAAAATGAAAACTTTATTATTATTATTATTATTATTATTATTATTATTATTTAACCCTTTGAAAACAGCATCAACGGGAAACCCTCGTTGTTCTTCTTCATCTGGTTCTTCTGGTTCTTCTTCTTCCCAAGAAGCTTCAAACGGCTATGAAGAGAAAGAAAAAGAAAGGGTCCATTTCTGCAGATTCTGAAGCTTTTCTTCTGCCTCCCATTTGAAGACTTCATCGTCAAAAACACACACACCCACTTTGTCACGGCGGCGTACATGGGAAGGCCAGGCATTTTTTCTCTCTCCTTTTCCCCTTTTACCCTTTTACCTCTCATTTTGCTTCGTTTTCCTCGTAATTTCATTTGGGTTTTAATCTAAGACGGTTATGTTATTGTATACATATCATGAACATTGAATGCAAATTACTTCACTTTAATTTTCATAATCTATCAGAACCATGTTTAACGGTATCATAATTTGATTTAGAGCTCATGATTTAAAGCGGTATTATGTGAAAAAATGTGTGCTTTTTTACGTATATTTTATTTTATCTTCCGCACATTGTATTCCTTCTTTCTTTCCATTCAAGATTTAGAGAGCCCGAAGTGTTCGTGTATTGGGTTAGGTTAGTTGTCATCATATTTTCTAGACCCAACCTACTTATTCAAATTATCAATTTTTTAAATCGAACCCAACTCAATTTGTTGAAAATTTTGTTTTTAACTAAAATATTATGATATAAAATATCTATTATTTATTTATTTATTTTGAAACTACCTTAGAGAGAACAAATAATTGAAAAAATAATTACACCAATTAAATAAAAATTAATATATATATATATATATATTATGTATCACAAGTATAAAAAAAAAAAAAAAAAAAAACGAATTAAGAAGCTTAATTTATAAATTTTGATTTATTTAACTTTAATTTAAAGTTAATTGAGTTTTTCAAGTAATAAACTTATTTTAATCTCCCAAAGGAGGGCATGCAAATTCATTATATTGTAATAAACTATAGCCTTGCAGTGCGTGGTCCAAATTTATACGCCATGCGTTGCGCCCGAGGATCTTGTTGACTTTTAAATTTTTATTTTCTCTTATTAAAAAAAAAAAACCTATTTTTTTCCTTATAATTTAAATATTATTATATTTTTAAAATTATTTTCCAATTAAAAAATTAAGAAACAAAACAAAATAATTTAAAACATTTATTAATTGCCGGACGCAACGATATTAATTAGCAATAAAAGTTATGTCGTGTGACTATGAATTATGTTTATTTTTTATATATATAATAAAGTTTATATGGGGAATCGGATTAATCTTTTTTTAATTGATTTATTCATTCTAGGTTTGATGCTAATTACACTAGATAAATAGTAATTTATTTATTAAATGTCTTAATTACAGGAATTAGGAGTAAATAATGATAATAGATTATTGATCTAATAATATGGGCTGTTTTATTTTTTAAATGACTATAAATTAAATGAAAATTAGTTATGAATTTATATAAATTATAAATAATTATTAAATACTTTTGCCTGTGGAGAAATCAGAAAGGTGAAGATTACCAAACCGCCTTTAATTTTTGAGTGAAAATGAAGGGATTTGTCTTAAAGCCAAAACCAGCGATGTCAGTGGGATGTCTTCTGTTGTCGTTGATGCACGTGTATCCTTTGTGTCCGTCGATTTTCGGGAAGTGATTTCAACGGTTCAGATTGAATTGTTGTTTAACTGGGACCCACTAAATTAATCCGGCCCAACAGTTTGTGTTTGTTTTGTTTGAAAGGGCCGGCCCATAATCAGGATCTTTACATCTGTCCAACTACCTTCCGGAATATGTGAAGAGTGGGCCCCCATGGTCGTAGGTCCACCCAAAAAACATGACGATGGCAAGCACACGTGTGAGACATTCCACCCTGGCATGCCCTCTGGGTTTTGGACAAAGATGAGGGAAGTTCGCACGTGACACGGGTTTTTCGGGCCGGGTTAAGACACGGGTGGGGCCCAAAAGTTTAAATCGCTTGTTTTTACTTTCTTTTTTTTTTTTAGTTTAATAATTATAAGGTAAAAATTTAACAACCATCGTAAAAATGGTAAAAATATAAATTAAATTGTGTTTAAATTGGGAAGGTGTATGAATTTGGTACTCGTTTTATTGGCCTCCATGAACATATATTTTAAACAATATTAATTATGCTACTATTTATTATATTTATTGGTTGCACTTCTACGTCACTATGCCAACCAGTTTTACTTAATGGAATTAATAAATAATCAAAAATAAATTATTGAAAAAAGTTGTCGATTTCCTTCCTCCACATTATAAAGTTCTGACATTTACAAAATTTATAAACTTTCTAAAATGTCATTTAAATCTAAAAATAAATATTTTAATTTTATGTTTAACATATATATATATATTTTACTTTAAAAATATTTAATATTTGATTAAAAAATTATTTTCAACCCGATTATTATGGTAAATGTACACTATAATCTTTATTAAAGAGACAACTGTCTATTAACACTTCATAGATTATCTTCAAACTTTTTAATGTTATTTTCGAGAGTTGAAGAGTATTTTTTAAACGTGATACTACTATAAATGTATTTTTTTTTAATTTTAAAAAAAATTTAAAAGTATTAATAAAAAATTTTAAAGTTAAAAAAGTATTTGTTTTTATTTAAGATAAAATCCAAAATTTAACTGTATTTTGATTAATTTGAAAAAAAACCTAATCCCGTCGTGTCTGTCACTATAGCTGTCTCTATTTTTCAAAATAAGCATTAAACTAAAAATCTTATCTTTTTCCATTCAGTTTAGAACGTTACATAAAAAAAAAAAAAAAGAATTTAAAAAAAACCATATTTTTCAATATTCTAAATTAGATTTTTTATTTTTGAAATAATATTATGACCCATTTGAACTTAGCTCGATTTGGACTTTTTCTTCAATTTTCTTGTTATTTTGTTTGATATATATATATAAAAATTATATTTTTCCATTTTTCATCACAGGCTCAGCCCTATCCCGTGGCTTTGCTTCCATTTGTTCTTATTAGCTCTTATTTCCCCTAAAAATCCCGAGTTTTGTGTGCCCAGCAACGGCTCAGCCCTCCATTTTTGTCTAAAATTCCAAAAAAGATATTTATTTTTTTTCACGTTTAATCTCAACCCTTTATCGCCTCTGCTATGATTCACATATAGAATCTCTGGTTTTATCTTCCTGCTTTCGGCTTTTACCTAAACCTTTTCTTCTGGTCGTCTCCGTTTCTAAATTCTTGTGGGAAGAATCAATTTCTTCTCATTTTTTTTCTAAAGAAACAGCCCACTACTTAGGTTGATTGTTGTTTTTAGATTTGTTTATTTACTTTCATGGAGGATTTGATGGTAATGGCGTGGAGGTTTTGGAGAACATTTCTTATTAGATAGCGTTTTTTTCTTCATCCAAGTCTTCGGATGATATCGATTTCTATGAAGATCAGGTGCGCAGCCTATTGAAGCTCCAAAATAGACCAATTCGTGGTTTGAGGGTTTGAGGCAGGTGGGGTTTCTTTATTTGACGAAATCATCTTACCCTCTTTGTATAAAATAACCTAAACCACCAAACCTCGCTCCCCCATTTTCTTGATCTATTGGAATAGCCCCAAGAAATGTTTGGGACTCAAAGCAAAAGAGATATTGCTCTTGAATTGCAAGCTCAGATTCCAGTTCTAAGGCCGAGCATCCATGCGAGGAGGGCGAATATCACAGTTAAGTTTCAAGATCTATATGGGTTCACAGTGGAAGGCAATGTGGATGATGTTAATGTGTTGAATGAAGTGAGGGAAAAGGTTAGGCAACAGGGTCGTGTCTGGTGGGCATTGGAGGCCAACAAAGGCGCTAATTGGTACTTGGAACCCTCTGTTTCTGAAGGGATTGCTCTCAAATCTTCTCTCAAATTGTCCACTCTTGCTAATGCCATCACTTTGAAGAAGTTGATTAGGAAGGGGATTCCTCCTGTTCTTCGCCCTAAGGTTTGGTTCTCCTTATCCGGAGCTGCGAAGAAGAAATCCACTGTTCCTGAGAGCTATTACAATGATTTAACCAAGGCTGTTGAAGGGAAAGTCACGCCTGCAACTAGGCAGATTGATCATGTAAGTTCTTTGCTTGATTTCCCTTTAAAAGGTATTTTTGTTGGTATGATCTCTTCACGATCCTTGATTTTGGATGACTGTACACTTTTCACCTACAATAGTTTCATAATCCTATTGATGGGTTCCCGCTAGGATTTTGTACACTTTGATATCATTGATTTTCAGATCACATTGTTTTAGCTTTATATATCAGAATCATTCTCAACGAGTCCATACAAAGTGATCCCAATGGATAAACACCAAAGATCTTGAACGACCGATCCAATAGAACAACTCAAAAGATAAAGAAGTATTGTTAAATTTGTTCATGCTGTTCTTTTGAGTAGCAGTGTATGTCAGGAAATGTTGTGAAGCTATTAATTCTTTAAGTGGTCAAGAGACCTCAATTATCATTATCTACTTATCAGGGATGAACTTTATGGTTCAGTAAATGATGCAGATGGGATCTGGTACTGATAATAAGTTCGAGTATCATAATATATAGATGATTCTAAATCGAATGTTAGTTCTTGTTGTTGTTTGCTATTTTTATAACTCGGAGTTTCTAGTTTTATAAATTTTCTTTTCAGTTTTTAATTTGTTCTTGTAACCATAAGATGAATGCCCTCATTGTGATTTATCCATCCATTCATTCATCAATTATTGGAATACCTCAGGTGCAGATGGGACCTGGAATTTTCTCTCTTAATCTGGAGATTGATTCGATGTTCATTCTATTTTTTTGACTTGTTCTATTGTTTTTTTTGATCGATATGTGTAGGACTTGCCGCGTACTTTTCCTGGTCATGCTTGGTTAGACACTCCAGAAGGTCATGCTGCTCTTCGACGTGTTCTTGTTGGGTATTCCTTCCGGGATTCGGATGTTGGATACTGTCAGGTGGGTTTGTTTTTTCGTTCACTCTAACATAGCCATCTGCTCTGTAAGTTTACAGAAGTTTTGGATCGGTTTACTATATCCCTGACATGTTTCAGTATTCGACATCCTTTCTTCTTGGTCTGATTTTTCTCTACTCCTGCATATTTGCATCGGCGATCATTTGAATCCTATCCTTAATTCATCTCTCTCTCTCTCTCTCGCTCTCTTCTTCTATCCTCTTCTTCTATCCTCTTCTTCCTCCCTTATGTTTCTCTAAGAATATTGATTTAGAATACAAAAATGATTTACTAGTTATTACATAGTTTTGGTATTAATCTTGACCTGTAATTTAGAACACATGGAATTAATACAGTTTCGGTGCAGGGCTTAAACTATGTTGCTGCATTGTTATTGCTTGTGATGAAAACAGAAGAAGATGCTTTTTGGATGCTAGCTGTTCTCTTAGAAAATGTTTTAGTTAGTGACTGTTACACGACCAACTTGTCAGGATGTCATGTCGAGCAAAGGGTGTTCAAAGATTTACTTACCAAGAAGTGTCCCAGGTGCCTAGATTTGTTTTGAAGTTCATATATTGTCTAATTAGTACAAGCTATTTCTAAACTGGCATGTAAATGCAGGATAGCTACCCATTTGGAAGCTTTGGATTTTGATGTCTCCCTTGTCGCTACGGAGTGGTTCCTCTGTCTTTTCTCGAAAAGCCTACCTTCTGAGGTAAGAACGATATCCGGGTGCCTGCATTTGAGCAAATGGAAGCTCTTCCTTAAATATTGTTCATCTTTTTGTGCAATAGTTCTAGAACAGTTATACATCTGACTGTTAACTCTCTAAACCATGTTACCATGTTTTGTTTCGGTCCCTTTCTCAGACGACTCTACGTGTTTGGGACGTCCTTTTCTACGAGGGGGCAAAAGTATTGTTTCATGTGGCTTTGGCTATCTTTAAGGTAATTGCTTTGGCTATGGCTATCAATGACTATATATCGTCCCGAGCACTTTGTAATGACGTCTTGATCTGTGCTTTCAGATGAAGGAAGACGAGTTACTCGTAACCCATCATGTGGGAGATGTGATTAATATTCTACAAAAAACTACACATTACCTATTTGATCCCGACGATCTACTGACGGTATGCATCCAAATATTCCATCATTGACATTGTTTTACTCTATGCCTTCCCCATTGTAATCTAAGGCGATTTGAAGCTTCGACTGGCTGCATTTTAGCTCTTGTTTCTTACTGAATCAAAGATCTCCGAATCATTTCACTCGACGGTTTAAACAAAGCGTTTGGATTGTGAACTTGCAGGTAGCATATGACAAGATCGGATCGATGACTACGAACACCATATCAAAGCATAGGAAAAAGCAAGAACCAGCAGTTATGGCCGAGCTGGATCAGAGATTGAGGCGACTAAATTCCCAAGTGAACGACAAAGAACATCATCCATTCCCTCCCGTCAAATCGAGCTGATCAAACTATAAAATTATAGCTATATTTAATGGGAGAATACAAGACTCCCCTGCCTGAGAGAGAGAGAGAGGAAGTAAAAAAAACAACAACAGAGCATCTGTTTTTTCTATGGTGTTTGTTTGTAGCTTTATAAATGTAAATTACAAAGAATCAATACTTTCTATATACTGTTAATTACACTGAAACAGAGCATTGTGGGTTCCCCATGCTCTGTAATTTCTGGTCTGATGTAATGAGTTATCTGTGAATGGAATCAGATTTGTTTCACGCCTCTGTTTTTTCTATTAGGGGATAACTTTTAGTGCAAGGGACGAATCATAGGCTTCCTCATTCAACATGATCATCATAATAACTTAAACTGAGTGCAATTTCTGTCAAACAATCTGATGAAACTCAAGAAAAGATTACAAGGGTACTCAAATATTAAGTAGAATATGCTAAAGAAAGTCCACACCAAGCCGTGTGATTTTAGTTATCCGTTCGAAAATCATGTCCACTTCCTTATTAAACTGCTACCCTGTGAAGAAGAATCGAGTACTCTCTCTGTAATGGTTAAGTCTTGCGAATTGCGTTAAACCCCACAAACCCATAAAAACGATTTGAAGTTCTTCGAATCTGAGCGCCGTTATCTCGAGTACTCTCTGTGTAATGGGCAAGTCTTGCGAATTGCCTTAAACCCCAGAAACCCATAAGAACGATTTGGAGTTCTTCGAATCTGAGCGCTTGATTTAAGAGTTTCGGCCCATCCGATGCCTCCAAGGCGCAGCAATCCTTGGACTCTGGACCTCGACCCCGACCTTTACGGAATCGATCTCGACCCATCTGATTTTGGGTCATCTCTTCCCCTAAAGAAGGTCCCAAACGGTGATATCTTCTCTGCATCTCGAGCCGGAGATATCGACCGTCTTCGCTACCTTCTCGAGTCCGGCGTCAATGTCAATGCGCGCGACCAGTGGGACTCTGTGGCGCTTTACTATGCGTGCTTGGCAGGGCACCTTGACGCTGCCAGAATGTTGCTCGAGAACGGCGCTATATGTTCGGAGCACACTTTTGATGGCGATAGGTGTCATTATGCTGCGCTTAATTTGAAGGTGCGGAAGCTTCTCAAGGCATTTGAAGCACGACCGCCGCCGCTTGGGCCATTGCAGGCTGCTTTGCGTGAAACTTTCTTGGGGTGTGGAGCTAATAGGGCGTATTTGAAGCAGGCCGAAAGCCTTCATCATCTTTCAGGTAAAGTTTTGGGTTCCAATCTCTTGATATTGTTTACTGCTATGATGTGTTTGGATTGTTTCCATTTCTTAATTGGCTATGATAGTTTATAGAATTGTATAAAAGATGAACAAGTTCTAGTTATCAGTGATGAATATCATATATTAGGCCACTGCAGAAGTTGTTCTTGACAATGCTCATATAACAGGCCTTCCATTCAACTCCGAATCGAATTACGAGTTCTTCCCGCCCGATGTTTCGTTTGTCGTTCAAGGTAGGCCGATCGAAGCTCACCGAGTTATCCTAAGCGCTCGATCTGCTTTCTTTAAGAGGAAGTTCGAAGCAGGTTGGAAAGATCGAAAGGAAGTTAGATTGTCAAAGGAAAGGCTGTCATATCCAGCTTTACATAGTCTCATTCACTTCTTTTACTCTGATAGACTCGAGATTGCGGTCGATGACATGGAAGACCTTATCAGAATTTGCAAAGTCTGCAAATGTGAATCCTTACTCACAATTCTTGAGAAAGAACTGGTTCATCAAAAGTATGCTCAGTACAAAGCTTTGGGCGACGTTGATAACTCGATGAAAAGGTTCATCTTACAGGGCGTTTCCCTTCCTGAAGACGATCGCCTTCCAGCAGCTTTACGTCGGATGCTTCAGATCGCTTTAGCTAACTCTACTACGGATCATGGCCAAGACAATGATGCTAATGATTTAAGTTTACTTGCTAGTAAAATGCTGATCAATGATAACATGGATGATCTTGCAGATATTTGTATTCGAGTCGATAAGAAGTTTTTCCGCTGTCACAAAGTTGTTTTAGCATCAAGGTCAGAGTATTTTAAGGCGAGAATATCCCGTATCAAGGATTTCGGTGAAGGAAAAGATGAACTTTCAGTTTATACTCTTCCGTTTATCGAAGAACACGATTTGAGCATGGAAGCATTTGAAAAAATGATCGAGTATATGTAAGTTCCAATTCATCCCACCCTATTTAGATTACTGTGGTTGGAGATTGTCTATGCAGTCTTTGGGAAGAATCCTTTAATAGTTCTTCAAAATTGGTTGCAATTCTCGTCCATCTGTAATGGCCCAAGTCCACCGCTAGCAAATATTATCCTCTTTGGACTTTTACTTCCGGACTTCCTCTCAAGGTTTTTAAAACGCGTCTGCTAGGGAGAAGTTTCCAAACCCTTATCAAGAATGCTTCATTCTCCTCCCTAACCGATTTGGGATCTCACAATTTTAAGATGAAGTTCCAATATTCATTTCCGCATAAAAATGAGTATGTTATGATGACGGTAGCGACTCTAAGTAGGTAGAAATCTAGGATCCTTATAGTTGGATTGTGAGATCCCACGTCGGTTAGGGAGGAGAACGACACATTCTTTATAAAGGTTTGGAAACCTCTCCCGAGCAGGTGCGTTTTAAAAACCTAGAGGGAAAGCTCGGAATAGAAAGCCCAAAGAAGACGACAATATTTGCTAGCGGGGCTTGGACTCGTCAATCAGTGTTAGATTTTTTCTTGCTTGCTGACACTGTTTTGGTTCTTGAATGGTTCAGGTACACAGATTGTTTGAAGGATATAGATCCTGATCAGGTAATTGATATGCTAATTAGAACTGCTTGCAAATTCTTGATGGTTCTACTTCTAAATTTTCGTTGTCGATCGAGTAGGCGGAAGAAATGTTCGATGCTGCTTCGAGATATCTTTTATTCCCTCTTAAGCGTGCTGTAGCCGATGCTTTGCTACCACAATTGGAAATGGTTTCCCCAGCAGAACTATGCCAATGGTTAATACTGTCTGACATGTATGTCGAAAATATAGATCCTCTACGAGTATTATGAGTATCTTTTTGATGTTTAAGTGACCCCATGAGGCAAGCTAATCTAAATTATGAAATCATTGCTCTCCTCCTTTCCAGGTATGGTGTTATCAAGATACGTGAGTATTGTTTGGATACAATAGCTTGCAATTTCGAGACATTCGCTGATACTCGAGAGTTCAGAGAGATGCTATTGACCCTTCCTCCACCATCTGGGGATTCCTCGCTCCGTACAACAGCTCCGAGCACTCCAGGAGCTGCTGTTAATATCGATCAAGGCAACGTTCTCGACGATCTACGAGAAAAATGGCTTGAAGCTGAAGCTGCTGAGCTTGATAAGAGAGACGAAAGTGCTCTACTCTTCGATAAGCGTCTTGAGATGCTAATGCTCGTAGCAGAACAAGAAAACGAGACCGGTAACCATCCTACACCCATCTGAATTATACTTTCTAGTTTAGAATTGGAAAATTTTGTTGGGGTTTTTGTAACTTTAATTGCTTGATCATTGAACCATAAGTTTGTTCTTAGGCGTTTCATTTTTTGTAATATATTACAACAGCTTGTGCTATAATAAATTTTTACCTGATCACTGAAGAAAACTTGTCTTAGGAAATGAAAATGCTCTTGAGAACTGTAGTAAAACTACATCCTCTTTATCCTTCCTCACTAAAACAGGAGCTGCTAAAGCCAACTGACTCCAGAGGCCCCCTCGGGCAATCCTAAACGAAAAGGAGGGCGAATCTACCGATGATCGATATTAACAGCAGCTCCTGGAGTGCTCGGGCAAGCCTTCCCGTCCGTAGTATCAGCAGCAGGAGCGATATCAGAAAATTGCCTCTGGAAGTAGTACACGATCGAGTTGGTTAATGGCAACGTGATAGGTTGAAAGCATGCTGCTACTCACTTTTGTGTTGGTCCAGCCAGAGCTAATGTGCACGGTGCCGGATGCATCGGTAAAAATCTAACTGTACTGCTCACCAGCAAATGTAGTAATGGGGCTCTTTTTGGGTAAGGTCGTTGAAATCAGCTATAGTAATGTGGTAAGCCATGAAAGAGTAGCAAGTGCCTTAAAGCTGTTCCTTGGTTAAACGGGATGGAGAAGGTTTTTGAGTGATGAAAATGCACTCTCCTTTGGTACAAATGGTTATTGTAACAACAAGTCAAAAAAAGATAATATCTGCTAGCGGTGGGCTTGGGCCATTATAAATGGTATCAGAACTAGACACCGAGTACCAGTGAGAAGGCCGAGTCCCGAAAGGGGGTGGACACAAGGATGTAGGTCCCAAAGGGGGTGGATTGTGAGATCCCACATCGGATGGGGAGGAGAACGAAACATTCAAGTGTGGAAACATCTCTTTAGTTAATGCATTTTAAAAACTTTGAGGGAAAAGTCTGAAAGTAAAAGCCTAAAATGACAATATCTGCTATGGGTTTGACTGCATATTAGCTTGTCTTTGGAAGGTGTCAATATCAAAGGTAGCTAAGGAACTTATGGAAAGAGGACCCACTACAAGTCAGTGAGATTAACGTGCTAACCAAAAGACCCATGTAATGTTTCATTTTTTGTTCGTATCCCTTAAAATGCACAAAAGCCATCGAATTAGTTCTAACCAAAAGAACCCCATTTTCAGATACACAAACCAAAGGTCATTTATTCATCAAAATCGTTCCCAGTTTCTTAGTTTAAACCCATAAGATAGAAACCCCATCGAGTTCTAATTAAGTTTTTGTAAATTACAGCAGGTGAATGGTGTCTGAAGAAAAATTTGTTGAAGAGAATTGGTGTTATATTAATAGGTGATAATACGAGGAAAGTTCGAGGCTATTTAGGTCGGTGCAAAACATATTGATGACCGAGGTGAAATTTCAACTTCCTACCTTTAGTTAATTGAAACCCCTCTCCTAATATTATTTCGAGACCTCTTAAAAAAATTTTCTCAGAACCATGTGAGTGACAACAAAAATATGCTAAAAAGACGAACGTTCCCTTGTAGAGTCAATCTTCACTTTTAATAATAGTTTAAGTCAAGTGAGTAACATGATCATATCAAACTTAGCAAGGGTCGAATCCGAATCCAAATCCAAATTTTAGTGGTCGAATTAACTTGTATGGTAAAAGATTTCATTTCTTTCATGTCATGACTCAAATTAACACTCACATTAACCTCTATTCAAGTAGCTATAGGGTGAATTCTCTTTTGGCTGCCTTCTAGTTTCAACGACTCCATGATTAACCATGGTACGGTTAGGAACAAACCCAGGCTGATTCGAATCCAAATGATCCAATCAGAAGCACAGGGTGGGCTTGTCAGCAGTGACCATGTCTGCCACGTGTCATGAGTTCATTCGGTGGAAGCTCCATATGTGGAAGGTGGGATCCACGTGGGTGGGCCAGCTCACCGCCCATTCCAAAAGCGATATAACCTCTTCCCAACTTTTTACACTCCTTTGGGGTTCATGGCCCCCACTCTCGTCCTCATAATCTTTAGGGATCATTTTTTTCGACGTTAAAATCATTTTTATAATGTTCAAAATTATTTAATATATATATATATATATATATATATATATATATATATATATAACGAAAAAATAACTTAAAATTTATTCTTAATTATATATTTTATTTTTTAAAAAAATATAACGAAGGTGATCTAATTATTATAATATATCATCACATTATTATCTTTATTTTGATTCTTTATATGTTCGAGTAAATAATATTAATAATTATTAAAGAAATAAAATTCCATTAACGATTGGTTTCAGTTCGGGTATTTGAACGAGCTAGAATAAAATTTTACTTTTATTATTATTATTATTATTATTATTATTTATGAAATGGTTATTGAAAGTTTTGGCCAATTTGAAGTCTTGGTTGGGAGGTCGACATCGTCAAGTAGAAAAGGGATGGCTGCGTGCTTGGATGGCCTCCACCTCACCCAATCACACTCATCATCCATAGACTTTTTTGCCATGTGGCGGCCAAGTGGGCACCTTGTTTTCTATTCTCTTCATCATCCACCGTTCATCATAATCAACATTCAAAAAGTGGGTCCCTTCCTTTATGATGAGTCAATTTACACACACCATTCCATATGCCACGTCAGTATCTCATACGTTTCGTCGACGGAATTCCTTCTGCGTTGGCCTCCACCTCCTCGGGCCCACTTCCACGTCTGCCATCTCAATGATTTAAAAAATATACATATATATTTGAAATAATAAAATCAAAACTAATAAGTCTAGTTTAAAAAATTAAATATCTTCACAATTTTTAAGACAAAAGTGAAAGAACCAACTCGACTATGTCTCACTAAACATATCAACTATCTATCAAAAAGATAGATGTGAGATGCGTAACGGGCCAAAGCAGACAATATATTTCGAGCGATGTTGCAATAAAACATAGGGTAATGGGATGGTGTCAAGGTGACAATAACGACGATTTGCTCATAAAAAAAACTGTGTTACACATAAATAAACTAATTACTGTTCAATCTGTCAAGAATTTTAACGATGAAATCTTATTAAATCATAAACACGAAATTCTAACCATAATTTTTTTTTTTCCATTTCGATTAAAAATTACTCAACTATTGAGAGAGAATGAAGCATAAATTTATTAATGAGGTTTAGATGATTAAGGCAAAAGAAGAGCTAATTAAGGGGATGATTGATTATAAACACACAATCTTTCACTTGAAGTTGTTTAGCAATTTAAAGTAAATTATGTTGTTGATTTTTGTGAGAGGTAAACTGTCAAATCCCAATTGTTTTTTGATGTGTCCCCACATGAACACACTTTCAGTTCTATATATAATCCACTCTCCTTCATCATTCTTCCATCCCACCATTTCTTTCTCTTCTTCAATTTCTCTCTCTACTGCAATTTTACCATGGCCACTGCAGAGGTAAATCTTGGGTCCTGCTCTGTTTTTCATGTTTAGTCAATCTTCTGCTGATACGATGTTAATTTTCAGGTTGTAACACAGGAGCCAGCTCTCCAAGAAGAAGTAACAGAGGTGGAGGTACCACCGTTGAAGGTTGAAGAGGAGGCACCGGCGGCAGCTGATCCACCGGCGGAGGAGGTGGCAAAAGAAGAAGCGGCTGAAGTGGCTGAACCCCCTGTTGAAGTTGAGACCAAGGAAGTAGTAGCAAAGGAGGAAGAAGAAGAGGCAAAGGAGGAGGTTGTGGAAGAGAAAAAAGAAGTAGAAGCAGCTGAAGTTGAGGCGGAAGAAAAAGAGGAAGCGCCAGCTGAATCGGAGCCGGCGGTGGCGGAGGAGGAGGAGGAGGAGGAGGAGGAGGCCAAACCAGAGGCTGAGCCAGCGGCGGAAGAAGAGGCTGCGGAGGTGAAAGAGACGGGTGCAGAAGAAGCAGAGGAGAAACCGGCTGAAGAAGAACCGGCAGCTGAGAAGGCTGAGTGAAGTTGTGTAGAGTGTGTGTGTGTATGTCAAGTTTAAGCGGTTGATTGAGTGGGGAAGGGAGTGAATAAGGCAAAAGGGTTATAGGGATTAGGGGAACTTGTCTTTGTTTCTTTGGATGTTTGTTTGGAATGCAATATTTTTGCTTCTCATAATGTGTTTGTGTACTTCATATAGCTTTGTATGAGCTTTTTTATGACCAACTTCTGGGCTGTTGGCCTACCAAGTACTTGTTTGATACTCCTGCTGCCCTCTTAGATTGGGGTAAAGAGCGGTAAGTGCGGTAGAGAGTGACAAAGGACTTGCTCGGCTGGAAATGACAAATTCTTTTAACAACCCATTTCAAAACCTGTTTCAAGGTTAATCCTAGAATAGAGATTAAATGACATCTTTTCAAAACAACTGAATACTCCGACCATAACCTAGAGAAAGACTTGAGTAGGTCATCAATATGTGATCCCTCGTCGGTTGGAGAGGGGAACAAAATATTTCTTGCAAGGGCGTGGAAACCTCTCCCTAATAGACGCTTTTAAAATCGTGGGACTAACAACAATATATGATGGGCTAAAACAAACAATATCTGCTAGGGGTGGACTTGAGTTGTAGAGCCCGACATCGAGCGGTGTACCAGCAAGAACGTTTGCCCCCAAGGGAGAAGATTGTGAGATCTCACATCCGTTGGAGAGGGGAACGAAACATTCCTTGTAAGAGCGTGGAAACCTCTCCATAGTAGATGCATTTTAAAACTGTGAGGCTGGCTACAATATGTTATAGGTCAAAGCGGACAATATCTACTAGCAGTGAGCTTGAACTATTACAAATGGTATCAGAGTCAACATCGGGCGATGTGACAACGAGGATGCTGGCCACCCAAGAGGTGGATCGTAAGATTTTATGTTCAGTTGGAAAGGGGAATGAAACATTATTCGCATGAGTGTAAAAACCTCTACCTATCAGACGCATTTTAAAACTGTGAGACTGACGAGGATTCATAACCGTGTAAAGAAACATATCTACTAGTCGCCAACTTGAACCTATAATTTATATATCAAATTTATGTCGTAATTAACTAAAAGCCTATAATTTTTTATTACACTT